GTCGTTACACTTCCACAATTCAATTTCAAAATTCGTCCTGACCGTGCATCTATCTTTAATCGTTTCGGCATCGAGCGCCTTTCTTCCGGATTTCTCCTTACAAAGTTTGTTTTTCGGCGTGGAAGTGCCATCTTCTGTGGCGAATCTTGTAGAAAGTTTGTTTAAAACAGTCTCTTTCTTCGCAATCACAGGCTTATCACCTTTTCCATCGTGTACTGGCAGTCTAATTGTACTCAGAGAACTTGTTGGAGGAGTATTTCTAGAGTTCAATTTGTCCCGATTTCCCTGCTGATTCTCATTCTTGATTGCAGTTCCACCTTCAATGAGTCGTGTAGACAACTTGTTAAGTGCTGTTTCCTTCTTTGAATTTAACACTTTCTTGCTGCTGTTTATCTTATCAACATCAATTGGTCGTCCAATTGTGAATTTAGAATTGTCTACTGTGGGAGTTCTCGTGGTTAAATCATCAGTGTTAGCCCGCAAATGCTCCTTCTTCTTCAGACCAGTCGATGAAGATTTATCCATAATCGTCAATTTGCTTTGCACCGTCGGTTTCTTAATCTTTGGAATCCTAAAAGTAGGGACAGCTCTCCTCTTGAATGAGTTGCTTGTTATTATCGCAGTAGTGATAACATCAGCAGATGATTCGTCTTCAGAATCATATTGAGTTCTAGGTTTTGATGAATCAGCAGCCCTTTTTGAAGTGTTGACAACAACTGATACGTCCTCAGTAGATGGTTCGGGTACAGTGATTACAGCTGGAGGAAGCTCCGGAGTATCAATACCTGATGATGTGTCCTCAGTAGATGGTTCGGGTACAGGGATTACAGCTACAGGAACCCTTCAAGCGAATGAGCGACTCTCCTGATGCCTTCGCTAAATTGCAACGTAAACATCTGTCGTATGTGAGACTTTCCATAACCCTTCCGCACTTACACCGCCAAGCCATATTCTTTTTTCGTATTATATGAATGATTATATTAGTAAATTATACAATTATGTGTATATATAGATACAAGGTGTTTTTTTTTGTAGAGTTATCAAATCAGTTACAACTACAGAAAACAATTGCAAGAGCGAGGTACTACTAGTACTAAAGGTCAACACTCATAATTGAGTTTAATTTGGGTAATTATGTTAAAATTTGAACCGATTAGTCAGCCAAAATCTGATTTTTAATTTATGTTAAAAAAGTTAAAAAAGTTAAAGTAATTAATGTTAAGTTCCAAAATCTCGATCTTAGAATTTAACTTTTTTAACGTGGACCCCCCCCCCCCCTCCGCCATGCCTAGGAAGACAATTTTCAGTTACACAAAGAAAACAGGGCCAAGCCTAAAATCTCGCCTCGTCAAATTGAAAGAACTTGCTTTAGGAGCTCAACATGGCCCAACCAGCAAATGCAATGTGCCAAGATGCAAATGTTGTGAACTTGTCAAAGGCACCCGTGAATTCAAAGTGAACGGCAAGAAGGTTAAAGCTTCCCCTGGAAACTGCCAGAGCTACAACATCATTTATCTGTTCCAATGTAGTGTCTGTGGAAAGGCTTACGTCGGTCGCACAACTCGATCTCTACGGGTTAGGACTGGAGAACATAGGGTCAAATATTATAAACTTTTAAATGGTGATAAGGTAGATGAAACAAGTGATGAATATAGTTTGGGTTTACATTTGTTGGATCATGGTTTTAGACAAAGGGAAGATTTTAACAAAATTTGTAATGTGTCAATTATTGATAATTCTAGTCCTAAAACTTTGGATATCCGTGAACATAAATAAATTCAACTACTCAAGACTTTAAAACCTTTGGGAATTAACACTATAAATCCTTTTGGCCTTCCTTTACTCCTAACATCTTAATTTTAACTTTATAACCGTTTTAAGAGTGTTCAGATTTTTAAAGGAATTTTGGGTTTTACTAACTTTTTACAATTTCTAGGGCTTATGTCACTGAAGATGACGCCTTGCAACATGTTTGACGATAGCCTGTAGATTGATAGTTTGATCTCAGTATTTACAACAATTCATCTAGTTTGATTGATTCAAAGGGAAACAAATTCCTCAAATACTAAGGAACTCCGTTTTCTATACGTGAAAGATTTTTCATTTTATTAGCTGCTCCGAAAAAGTATTAACAAAAAGGGGTAAGCTGCATATTTAAATATATTAAAATTTGACCAAAAACCCATATTTGGGTAGATGGACCGCTGCCAGTGTCTCTTTCCCAAACAAAAGTAAATGATATAAATTTGAATGATCGTCCGTAAATTCAAAATGAAAACAAATGTTAGGAAAATTCAAAGTGGCACTTAGATATGATAGATCAACCTCAGCCAGAGCACAAGACACATACCTTTGTTAACATACCGGATCAGGCGCCGATAATATAGCGCCCGAGACACATACCTTTGTTCTTAATCGGATCAGGCGCCGATAATATAAATGGATAATATATGTGTGCTTTGTCTAATATTTGTTCGAGAACTAGGTCTCCGAGTTCTCTATAACAAGTAAATAGTAATAACCACAGTATTATAAGTAAATAGTAATAACCACAGTATTGCATCATTTCAGCAGAAATAGGGGACAATAGGGGTATATTTTTCTGCTGAAATGATACAATAGGACTGAGAACGCAATAAATAGGCCTCTGGGCTACAAACGGATAAAACTCACTTTTCGCGTGTACAAACAGGCTGAACAGGCGACACAGCTGGCGCGGTGCCAATTGCTTTTTTCCCCGGTACTTTCCCGTGAATTTTGGCACAATCTCAATTTACCTACCTTACTCGGGAATATTATAGCGGGTTAATTTATGACTGGGAAAATTAATGACCGGGAAAAATATGGCGGAATTTTCCAAAACCCACCACTTTATCCCAGACATAATATTCCCGAGTAAGGTAACTCATAACCACATATGTATTTATATTGTACAGATTTCCTGCAATCAATCCGCAATCTAAGATTGTGGTAAATATTCAACGACAATATCGGGAAGTGACTTACAGATTCCGTTCAATTTTCACCGCTGAGTGCATTTTACTAAGTTATTCCAAGTTTGAAATATAAACCTAAATTATTTTTGATAAAATAAGCAACAACATAATACTCCATAAAAACAGCTCTCCTTTGCTAGTTAAACACTTCTTTAAGGGGGGGGGGGGGGGGGGGGGGGGGGGGTTCACCCTGATTTTTTTGTGAAACTTAGTTTCGAGATAGCAGTTGACCAACAAACTAGGACCGGTGACCGAACTTTTGAGGGGGTCCCGGACCCCAACCGCCAAACGGTGCCTGCGGGGCAGCCACGCCCATATTTGATCCAAATTAGGCCCAATTTAGCCAAATACCCTGAACATGCCCAAAACCCAGATTTTAGGTGCTCTACTTGTAGCTAGTGGTCCCCTGAACTCGTATATGAATTTTCATCAAGATTGGACAAAAAATGACTGAGTTATGAGCCAAAAACCATATGACCATATTTGGGCATACGCACCAAATTTGATCGATTTTGGCCCATAAATTGGTCAAATATCAATATTTTTGAATGAAACCAACTTTATATGGAAGATAAGCCTATACTACAGATTCTCTATGATTATCAGCTCAATATCTATCTAACTGTGGATTCTGTGTTCAAATAGTTGCAAAAAATGAACAAAATCGCCCATATCTCAGTTCGCGATATTTGCAAAACTGACTTCGCTCAAAACAATAGAACTCAATAGGGTTTCAATATTTTTTCATGAAATTTTCAGAATCGACGTAGAATCGCCTCATGACCTTAAGTTTTGTATTAGAATTTTGAGTTAGGCCTTTAAAAAAATTTGGCGGCCAAATTCTGAAAAATGCCCGGCAAATTTCAGAATTTGGCCGCCGAATTTTTTTAAAGGCCTAACTCAAAATTCTAATACAAAACTTTAGGTCATGAGGCGATTCTACGTTGATTCTGAAAATTTCATGAAAAAATATTGAAACCCTATTGAGTTCTATTGTTTTGAGCGAAGTCAGTTTTGCAAATATCGCGAACTGAGGTATGGGCGATTTTGTTCATTTTTTGCAACTATTTGAACTCAGAATCCACAGTTAGGTAGATATTGAGCTGATAATCATAGAGAATCTGTAGTATAGGCTTATCTTCCATATAAAGTTGGTTTCATTCAAAAATATTGATATTTGACCAATTTATGGGCCAAAATCGATCAAATTTGGTGCGTATGCCCAAATATGGTCATATGGTTTTTGGCTCATAACTCAGTCATTTTTTGTCCAATCTTGATGAAAATTCATATACGAGTTCAGGGGACTACTAGCTACAAGTAGAGCACCTAAAATCTGGGTTTTGGGCATGTTCAGGGTATTTGGCTAAATTGGGCCTAATTTGGACCAAATATGGGCGTGGCTGCCCCGCGGGCACCGTTTGGCGGTTGGGGTCCGGGACCCCCTCAAAAGTTCGGTCACCGGTCCTAGTTTGTTGGTCAACGGCTATCTCGAAACCAAGTTTCACAAAAAATTCAGGGTGAACCCCCAGCCTTAAATCGTGGGCGGTTTAAAAACGCAATATGTCTAAAAGTAAAAGGGGAGTTTAACTACCTTTGAGTAGCGCACCTTTTACAGTTTACACTGCTTGGCTACATGACCGTAATTTGTTCAATGCCAACCATGCTTTGCCGGAATTTTGCTAGACTATTCCATGGGGCTGGTCAAGGTGTTAGCTTTAAACGTAAGAGCGTTGTACTAAATAGTTATTATATTAGACACTCTACTCAAGCTCTAGAAACAGTTCACTTAAGGTTTAGTGGTTTTATATAGTTGCATTTAGTCGGACCATGCTTTCAATGAACATTGGACGACACCTTAATATCTTGGTATCCAATCATTGCCCTTAAAATGAAACATGACCTTAGTTCGACAAGGCAAGTATGTAACGTATTTTGTAATATGTTGAAGTATTTGGTAATATGTTGAAGTATTTGGTAATATGTTGAATATTTTATACATACCTTCGAGTACCTCCTTCATTAACCTCTCCCGGGCGGCACCCTCCCTCTGCCACTGATTCTCCCTCTTCTCCCACTGTCTGGCAGCTTCCTCCCGGTAAAGTGTCTCTAGTTCTGCTTCTCGGGCCCTCTCCAGCTGCAACTGTTCTTCAACCACCTAGTACGGTTGAGGTTATGATGTGGTGCACTATTTAAAGCAACATACGTTATGCGTATTCCATTTATAAAATCATTTAGTAATTTTATGTAGCTGTCGTAGAGAGTGTATTAATGAACTCACGCGGACTTTCTCGACAAATAATGGATTTACGTAAACGGCCGCATTTCAGCACTATATTAAGTTCACCTGTTTCATCCACTTAGCGTCCGCTTTAGCTTTTTCTCTCCGAGCAGTCATAACGTCCTGGACTTCTGTTTCTTTATCCGCCAAATTTCGTAATATCTTCAAATCCAGTTCCTGAGGGTTGTTCAATTTTATTTGTGCATGCAAATGTGACCAATTATATATGAGACAAGAGAAATTAAAATTCATTTGTTAACCAGCAATGTCGATAAAGCTTAACAGAATCCGGCAGAAAGGTTAAGCAGTCTCATGACCGCCAGTACATTTTACGCCGGAAAATTCCATCATTTATATAAATGAAAGGGTCACATACTTTCAGACAATTTAAAAATTGATTTACCAATTCCTCCTGGATCTGCCTCGACCTTCTCCGAAGAGCAGCCAGCGCTTGTGCCTTTAGCAGACGCCTAAATTGGGGAGCGCCGGTCAGTATGTGGCGGTTCAATAAAATGTAAACGATAAAACTTAAAGTTGTAACCTGGAAATGGCTGGGTTTAATCTATTCTCCCAACACTGGAACCAAACGTTTACGAAATACCTTAACCACTGTCTCTCTGTTACGGTCACCAGATTAAGTCATTTTGATTTACTGTGCAAACCATTTTGTTTTACTTCAGAGAAAGGATTTTATTTTACCGTTCTCACAATTTCGCAGTCAAGTTCAATGTCAGTTTTACAGTTTGCTTCCTGGTGTTTGATAGTGGTAGCCGTACAACCCACGTCAGAAGTTTGCTATGGAAAATGTTTTGCTTTCTATGATCCCTCGTATGACCCATCGGTCAGTATTTGAGTGTTTGTTTCTATTTTATTTGTATGTTATTTTATTTTATCATAAATTTAGCCTAAGGCCCGGGTCTGAACTAGCTTCAGTTCCATAAAAATTCTCACGAATGCTTTTTAATTACTCAGGCAGCCGAATAATTATAATTTCATCGCATGTTCTGATTCAGTCACCACGCCGCAAATGAATTAATGCTGACTGGTTGTAATTGCAACATCAGTCGAGGGTCAGACCCCCGAGAAAGATGCTCTCAAATTTCAGAGAAAGGTCCTACTTTAAAGCAATTATGTGGGCAGTACAGGTCACCTGTAGTCACTACAGGTGGTACCTGATAACTTGCTCACTGCCCCATTTAAATCTAAAGCTAGTAAAAAACCTAGAAGATGTTATATCCCTCCAAAAAATGAACCTAATTTAAAGATGAACAATCAGTTACACCGCAGATACTTCTCGATGCACTGGGGTATAACAACGGAGATAGAAGCATTCTTTGTCATGAGGACGCGAAGATGAATTGTACTGGAGATTCTAAATGCACCAACGCCAATCTCTAGTAATAAGAGAATTTTTAATCATTATTTAATATTTAGAATCATTACATAATTTCAAGTAATATTTCTAACGAGGCAAATGGTCTCCAATGTTGATATCTTAGCATCTGAAGATCTAAAACTTGATGTTAATTAACCATTCCAGCGTGTCAGTGGAGGGGAAGCACTGGGAGATGGGATCATTTCAATGTCAAAACAAAAGTGTTACAGCGGCCATCTTATGTAGTAGGCTCAAGGGAGGTTTGATTTATAGAAACTTTATAGTTTGTTACTTGTTGTCATACTACTATAATAATACTGGGATTTCTCCTATTTCATCTACATTCAGGGGTAGCATTTGGCTGTAACTGGGCGGCAACCGACACAATACTTCCGATCAAATGGTCAATGTAAAAATGGTCAATGTTAAAAATGTAAATTTGAGAAATCTATTGCGAAGTTAAACAACCACATACTTTACAGAAGCAGTGAGAGCAGGAATGAACGTTTACACCTGTGACGCAGAGTTTTGCTTCTCCAACCTGTGCAACACACGCTGGATGTCTTGGGAGAGTGGCTCCACATCTCCAAACCTTGCTTACATTCTCCTTACCATTAACTTTATCTTGCATTTGTTGTTATAAGGGATATCTTGTTGAACTATAGATTTTGGCGCTGAGCTCGAATGACCTCAATAATGAACAAGTTTGTTACTTTAGTTTGTTAAGTTGCAAGATATCTTACTTACAATTCAAAAGATTATATTTGTCTGACGGCCCCAACGTTAATGTGGCTCTTACTATGTGTTGGTTCAGCCGAATTAATTATTACTAGCAGGAACCCGTCTAAAGTGGTGCCAAGACTCAAGAGACTAAAATAATTATTACCTATTTAATTCGCGTTTTTGACACCACTTGGGGGTACAAATTTTGGGCACTAAAATTCTTATTCCTTGGCCAATTCTTTATTTTTTCATGCTGATTTGAAGGCCATTAGAGCATTTGAAACAGCATTTTACGGTTGTGACGGATATTTTTTGATGCGATAAAAACTGACTACCAAAGAACACTACTAGCTTCCTTCCTGTGACCACGGGCTTTCTAGTACATATATAAGGCAGACAATAACGACTAAAAATAGAAAACAACTGACCCGAATTGTATCTTTTCTCGTTTCTGTTCCATGTCACGTCGCATTTTTTCCTGTTTGAATTAAAGATTAAGTCAATTACTTAATTAACATTATAAATTCAATATTACTCCAAAACAAGATATGTATTTTAATCTGATCATGAACTTTCTAGAATAAGTTTTGATGAGATAAGCGCTGTATAAATCATGTAAAAATTCGATTAAATTATCAGATCCCGAATTTATTTTTTTGAACATTTCAAATATGATAATGATAATGTGATGCAACCCCATCGATACCCATGCCCATTTGACTAAAAGTGAAGGAATAAACGGGGAAAATTGCAATTAATTTTCGTTCAAAATGAAATAATAAATCTTTCGGATACCATATTCTATTGAGCTGAAATATAGCTGTACCCCACCTCATCCTCTTAAACATCATATTAACAGCGGAATTGTTTCAAGTTGGAGTGAAATTGTTTCAAGTTGGAGTAAGGAGTCAATGTGTTAATGGTAAATGTACACCTTGCAGTCGCCAGATTCTTTAATGCGAAATCCTCTCAATTGAGAACTGATACTCTTCGGTAACCTCACGCACGCCCAACGGTATTCGAATTATCCAATCCAACGTTATTTGTTATGTTTGCTAGCCTAGCAAGCTATATTAATTATAACGAGTGCAGCGTGCAGATTTCAAACCCGTAGCGCGCACGCGCGCGTCAAAACGAAAATAAAAACACTCGAAAAAGATGCATCGCGCGCTACGTAAAGTACGATATAAATCTTCAAAAATCTAAGATATACTAGCTTGCACATGTGACTGGTAAGAAATTGAATATAGGAAATGTAATGATAATATCGAATATCGTCTATTTCTATTTAGAACTCCAGCAATATTCAACAAGAACTCAGTGAATGCAGCAGTTAAGGTTACACGTACCGCAGCAGCTAATTCATCTTGTTGAAGGTACAGGTCTTCTTCTTGCGCTTTTAGAATTGCACTCTGAAGATAATTCGTGTCACTACAAAGCTATCAGTTATTTAGAATATATATTCGCATTTTATCCACACTATATTTACATTACACGTACAACGTGATATCGTTATCAGTGCAGTGTGTACAACACCAACTACACCGATCAATTGCCAATCTGCGAAACATTTAATTATTATTATCACTTCGAGATGGCCAGCATGAGAGTAGGCCTGGCCATCTCGAAGTGACAAAGCTATCAGTATAAAGAAATTATGAATACAATGTTTTATGGTAGCAATTAATTATAATGAGAATTTTCTTCATTTCTTTTCAACAAGTTTGCTTATATATATTATGCCTACAGGCAATTTCAATGAAAAATCAGTTTTAAAATAATTAGTGTACAAATAAATTTTTGTGATTAGCTTACAGATCGAGAAATTAACAGGATTGAAATTCACTTTAACTATGGAAAAATAATACAAAAAATGGACTCGCATAATATAAAAGGAGCAAAATGATTGATATTACTGCGATTTTCAATAATTATTTCCTCTCATTCTCAGCAAATTCATTGCCACTGACCTCTTTTTCCCTGAGTTTAAGTTTTTCCATCTGTTCTCTAAGAGCTCCTGCCTGCTGGGCGGCGTCTGCTCTGCGCTCCTCCTCTTGCTCCTTCCGTTCCAGCTGATATCTTATCTTAGCCCTCTCCTCCTCCATTATCTCCCTAGTAGTAGGATATTTAAAACATGCAACATTTATTATATTTATTCACATAATATAATTATTTGAGTGTACTACTGCGTCTGTTTACCTATCATATCGAAATACACGTGAAATATACTTAATGAGGTGTCTATTATTGTAGTTTAAAATAATAATTTCGGTTTTTTACTTACTCCAATTTTTCCTGCTTTTTCTCTTCTTGCCGCTGAAAGAATTCATGTTTTAAATAAATAATAATAATAAAATTTGGTAGCTTAAACACAAACTCTAAGCCCAGTGGATAAACCACAAAACTTATGCTCTATTGTGTGAAACAAAGATACTAGATCAAGATAACTATCAAGGAGTGTATGCATAGGACATAAAAAGTTTTGGAACGAAGATGACATGCTTATGAAGCGAGCTAACAGTCTAATTGCTAATAAGTTCAAAAAGATCATGACATTAGGTTGCATCCTAAACAGTTTAAGCAAATAACATAAAGTTATATTGTCAATTAATCGCTCATGCCATAACTTTTCTTAAACAGGTGAGTTTTTAATAATGTTTTGAACAGATCAACATCAGAACAAGTCTTAATTTCAATTGGTAGTTGGTTCCAGATTTTCGGAGCAACAGTCTGAAACGCTCTTGGGTGCGATCTTGTAGATCCGACAGGTAGGTGTAAGGAGGAAGTTCTTCTGCTACTCGAACTAACAAATGTTACTAGATCACACAGATATGCAGGAGCAACACCATTGACTGCTTTGAAAATCAGTAAACATAACTTAAACTCAATCCTTTCCTTCACCTTGAGCCAATGAAGGGATTTGAGCTTCTCCTCGACTGAGTCTCTCTTCTTTAATCCAAAAACCAGACGGCATGCTCGGTTCTGAATGTTCTGCAGCTGCGTAATTGAGGCTTGACTACAACCATAGTAAAGCGCATTGCAGTAGTCTAGCGATGAGATTACAATTGCTTGAGTCAGTGTTCCCATCTGTTTGGTTGTGAGGAATGTTTTCATCTTAGCAAGGTCTCTTAGTTTCAGAAAACACGATGTTTTAAGTTGCTTGATTTGCTCACCAAAGTTTAGTTGAGAGTCGAGACGAAATCCGAGGTTCTTTGCAACAGGTGACAGCCTGACACACGTCTCAGAGTTAACAAACACGCCCCCTATAGACAGCTGCTGGAGAACAAGCGGTGTCCCAAAAACAAGAATCTCAGTTTTTCCTGCATTGAGCTGTAGATAATGTTTTTTCATCCAGTCATTAATTTCTTGGAAACATTTGGGAACATCGTTGATAAGGACGGTGGGCTCCTCGTTTGGCTTGAAACTTTTATACAGCTGATGATCGTCGGCGTAACCCTGGATGGAGAAGTTCAAATCATGTGCTGCTGAGTACAAAGAGCGAATGTAGATGTTGAACAGGACCGGACCCAGCACAGAGCCCTGTGGGACTCCAAACTTAATCACTATTTCATAAGATTCCTCATTTCCAACTTTAATCGTTTGACATCTACCTGTGAGGAAGCTGCTGAACCATTTCCAAGCTGTCCCTGTTATTCCCAACTCATTTCTGAGGATGTTCAGTAGTTTGCAGTGGTCAACTGTATCAAAAGCTGCGCTGAGATCTAGGAGAAGAACAACAGTTGCCTTGCTTTCTGTAGATGCAATGAGCAGATCGTTAACAACTCTCACAAGCAGAGTCTCGGTGCTGTGTTTTGATTTGTATCCAGACTGCTGTGGGATGTTCAGGTTGTTGTTTTCTAGATGTTCATTTAGACGCCTGAGCACTACTCTTTCTATCAACTTGCCTACAAAACTAAGGTTAGATATTGGTCTGTAGTTCTTGAGATTATCACTATCTAATCCCTGGCCCTTGATCAGGGGTGTGATATGAGCTAGTTTAGCGCCATCAATACTGCCAGAAGATAATGAAGCATTTACTATGTCAACTAAGACGGGTAGTAGAACCTCAAGGTTTTCTTTAAAGATGTTAGCAGGTAGAGGGTCAATTGAAGAAGACTTGATCTCAGATGCCTTGATTATCTCCTCTAGTTCTTCTAGAGTAGTTGGAGAGAACTCAGCTAGTTTTTCTCCGCAGTAAGAGGGCGTTTGATCGTCAGACTCCACATGATCAAAGTTATTACGTATTGCCTTTATTTTCTCCTGAAAATATACGTTAAAGTTTTCGACTGTTTCCTTGAGAGACTCCGACGAAGGCAACACAATGCTTTTATCCCGATCAAGAAAGGTGTCCACAAAGCACGAAAATTTAATGAGATTTCAGTATAATATAAATCAAATGAATGTTAAGTAATATCTTTATTATAATCATATATAATTTTAACGATTTCGTTTATCTACTTTACTGAGAATAACTGTAGAACTAGAGGCATCTCGTATAAACAATCACCAGTAGCGGTGGGGCATCTTGAGTGATTGTCAGTTTTAATTCGCTTAAGTATGCAGCAAGTAATATTGGCGAATAACAGCCGGCTATTAGCCGGTCGACATTGTACCTATTCGCCGTGATATTTTTGTAAAGTATTTATTTCAGCATGTCTCAATCACTTTAACAGTTTGAGGAGAATTCAAAGTGACAATTGTAACAAGCCCATATAAAGTGTGTTTCAGAGTCCAGCACACAAGAGGGGACCACGTGACCTTTACAATATATAACCATTGAGATAAATGTTTGACCACATGATGCGATTTTCATAAAATTATGTATCAAGTATCAACCATTGTATCAATTATCAACCATTTTGTTTTAATGTGGTCAAACAGTAGACCGTTATAAATTTACCAAATACACACGCACATAATAAAATGTATTCGGCGTCTACAACTTCTTAGAGGCTCTAGCTCTATTTATATTGGCAAGGTAGTGTCACTAAGAAATAGTTCTCTCGCGAGTTGACCACAAGTTATAAAACTACAATTTACCGCTTACTAGTTGCAATTAAATGCGGGGCTGTGAAGTGTGAACATTATAAATCAAGGTAATAGAGTAATATAAGAACCTGTGAATTCTGAGCCCGCTGCGTTGTCCAGCCCTGTTGAACCTCCTGTTTCAACATGTTAGAGTTTAAATTTCTTAGTTCCGGTGCGTTTAGCCGGAGGTGCTGTTTCATCTTCTCGTCAGCAATCTGGGTAGGGGTTTCCATTTTAGTTAAAATACAAAAATCACTTACATCTATTATATGATATAACTTATCAACTAGTAGAAACAGCAAAGTAAAAAAAACATCACCAGGTTGAGATAATTGCTTTAGATAACAATTGTAATGTACCTTTTTTCTTTGGATTTCTTTCTGTTCTCTGAGATATGTGACACGGTCTGACATATCGCCCATAATTCCAGGATTTAATCTTGAATTTCTTAACTCCGACTGAAGTTAAAATTGGCTCGTTTACAATTCTGGTAGAGTGATAATGTCACGTGATATGGAATGGATTAGCCAGTTAAGGAATTCTTTATCTAATTTACTCATTTATCAATCACATTTTTGGATGATCAGATCGAATGTATCGTAAGTTTAACAGGTTCTGTCAGCAAAAATCGATTTAAAATTCCTCACATTCTTCATAAAATGAATAATCGGTTATGCACATTATCTCACCGCATCACACTTCCTGGTAACGATCTCAATACCACTGAACACACTGCTCACTGAACAAATTAGTTGTCAGAATAACTAGTTTTATTTAATTTAAAGTTGGAGTCTTCTTTAATGGGGCACTGCTCACGACAATTAAAAGCTTTGTTTAACAGTAAGAGTAGAAGAGAGAGAGAGTTATTGTCAAACACGATCAAGTTCCTTGTACAAAGTTCATTAACTCGCATCCAAATATGAGCAAATCTATTTGAACACACATATGACGTGAAAGCAAATTCCCTTTTTAACAGCTACGTTCATACTACAAATATATGCCCTCTACTCCCTTGCTACACGAATTGCTATTCACAAACACAATACACTTTCAACAAAAACTTGCTCACCATTTAGATCTAGTGAATATAATAGTCTCATGTCACACTTTCAGGCGGAGAAAAATAAAACCTTGTAGTGATGATATCATCAGTAGGTAAACGAGCAAATGAGTTGATGACAGATGTTCAGATGTTTGTCCCGCGTCCGTAAAAATATCTATTCACTTATTAAGCTATTATTCACTTCTTAAGGTATTAACACTGATCGTGAATCGTGTATAAATTTATGAAAACAAGAGATAGTTCTTAAATAATCTTAGATAGATGTGATTGAAATATAAGCGATTGATACGTCACAAAATATACGTAAAAACAGTAGCCACTAAGCATGTCCGTATGCTTTCGATCGAAAATAAGAAGTGGAATGAAAACTCGCATCATATTTCATTTAACAATACTGTTCTTCCACTTCTCAGTTACTCGTTTTATTTTTGTACCCCCTTTAAAAAAGCATACCTGATACAACATATTTTCATGTTGTAGTAATTCGGCCAAGGTACGTCGCCTCTCTGCTAGTTTCTCTCCTTTTGTGTCTGCCGTGTAGGATTCTCGGTAGGCATCAACACTGACAAAATAGATGTTAGTCTTGATTGAACTACAGTGTAACACTTTATCTCAAGATATCACTAAACGTAATCCAGCTTACGGGTAGTAACAAAACGCTTGCTGGTGTAAATTCTACACACAGGCAAGGTGTACAGTAGTTTGCCAAGGGGAAGGGGTCTAGAATGACGAAAACGTGGTTTACGTAATATAATGTGAAAAGTCCTCAGTGCTGGTCATATGCTGCACATAAACGTCATAAGTTTGTACGGTCAAATAACAGTTAGTATTCTTACGAAAACACTACGTCTCTCACCTTCGTTCCATGCAACGTGCTGAGTTCCACTGGCGTTGCTTTGAAGTGTCATTAGCAACTTTTACATAGTAATTCTGATCTTTCGTGGCTGGAGGTCTGCTAAAACGTTGCATATGTGGTAGAGCCATCTCAAACACCTACAAGGAACACTGCCATTTAAAATATGCAAGTAAGATACAATCTTTTTATTACATTGTATCTACTCATCAACCTCGATGAGTAGATACAATGTAATAAAAAGACAAGTTTGTAAAAATATAATATGTCGGCCTTGTAGAGAGATACATCCAGCAACACACTGGTAGCTTTATACTTCCATTGTCTGGATGTTGAATATTTCATTTATCCACAAGAATTACTACAGTGCGAATTAGCTCCATTACTACAATACATAATACAATGTCTTGTTACTGGCGCACTCCAATGCAATTCTTCATTGTTAATAGATAGGATAGCTTTTACTGAACAGGATGTATTGGGGAGTCTAGTTCTGGTCCAGTTTTGTGGTGTCTCTAAAAGGTTGTAAAAAGTAACTCTGACAATTAAAAATATGATTAAACTTGTGTCTATAATATAAACTGTATATATATATATAATCAGTTAACTTACTTAACTAATTATTGTAATTGATGGTTCGATCAGGAGTACATTTCCAGTTCTAATTTTACTTTTTACGGGTATATGGCCCCCAGAATATAGGTGGCCCCCAAAATATAGGTCATGTTAGTGGATACAGTTCTAACCAAGATAAGCGATACTAATGGGATCTGTTACTGCTAGGTTGGAGTAAAACATGTAACTTATGTTTCTGGATAAAAATTTTGGACCTACATGAGGTATTTTGGTATATTTGGTCATGACAGCGAAAGATTTAAACGATGTTGTCATTTTCTAGAGGGGTAAATATGGCGAAAAATTGTCATGACAAAAATCTGTCCAACACATGCCATTAAGACTACTGGTATGAGTATAAGTATTATTTTAAGCTATCTTTTCATCGAGACATCTGCAAACTGACAATTTGGAAAAAAGTTATGGCCACCACAATTTTACGGGCCCCCAGAATATAGGTCTATACGACCCCCAGAATATAGGTTGGTCAAAAACCCTGAACATGCCCAAAACCATGCTTTGGGATGCTCTACTTGTAGCTACTAGTCTCCTGAACCCACATATCAAGTTTTATCAAAATTGGATAAAAATTGGCCGAGTTATGGGATAAAAACAAAAACCATATGCCCATATTTGGGCATACACACCAAATTTGATCGATTTTGGTCCATAAATTGGTCTAATTATATCAATATTTTTGAATGAAACCAACTTTATATGGAAGGTAAGCATATATTACACATTCTCTATGATTATCAGCTCAATATCTACCTAACTGTGGATTCTGTGTTCAAATAATCGCAAAAAATGAACAAAATTGCCCATATCTCAAACTGACTTCGCTCAAAACAATAGAACTCAATAGGGTTTCAATATTTTCACATGAAATTTTCAGAATCAACGTAGAATTGTCTCATGACCTTAAGTTTTGGGACAGAATTTTGAGTTAGGCCTTTAAAAAAATTTGGCGGCCAAAAATGTCTGATTTACAGTCATTGAGGTGCACATTGTATTGATACAGATAAAAACAGCCCCCCTCAATCATATCTAGGGACACTCCTTCAATCTTATTTAAGTATTTAGTTAAGATCCCTACTAAATGAGTGCATGAAAGCTTTTTAACAAGTAAAATCAAAGATTTTACTCATTACGGGTATATGGCCCCCAGAATATAGGTTTTTTAAAAAAAATAGCGACCAAGATTCTGCATTTTCTCTGTCACCCTGAGCATTAAGGAATGTGGGGTAGTGATGAGAAACAGTTAAAGAACATATGCTGAAGAGATGGCATCATCAAAATGTATGAAGGTGGAGTATTTGAGGACGATTTTTGCATACCTATATTCTGGGGGCCGTAGTTTTTGATTTTTTGCTATTAAGTATACTCTTAACCTTTTCAATTTAGTATCTGGAGCCATTGGCATCATCAATACAGTCTCAGCAACATATTCTGACTGCATATAACTGTCTGTGACAATTTTAGAACAACTTAGGAACAGATGTTTGGACCTATATTCTGGGGGCCCTGTTAAAAAATGGTATTTTTACAGGTGAAAAAAAAGTACACTTAAAAACCTAATAATTATTTTCAACTACCCAAGAAACATTTAAAGGGTTATTATGTACATATTTACAGCCCTAAACATGCTTAGAAGTAGTTTTAACACCTGTTTCTAAGTGCTCAAAAAACGACCTATATTCTGGGGGCCATATACCCGTAACTACAAACTGTCATACAGCTACTAAGTAACTGAAAAATTACAGAAGCCAAAGGCCAAGGATCTTACAAGGCCAGCTACAGTTACCGGACTTTCTTTGCTCAACCTTTTAAATCATGATTTGCCGATAATTAGGCTGAGTCTAATTTTCTATCACAAGTTGGGTGTGCTACTATTAGACCACCAATCCCAATTATAACTGGGCAATAATTAACTGATGATAATCAATGAACGAAATTTACATACACATATGTCCCAAAGAAAGGATAAGAGGAAATGGGAGTATCAGGCTGAAATTAATGTAGACATGTACATGTTATAATATAATGGCTATTCAATAAATTCAGTGCATGAAAGCAAAGGTCTTTCCCTTTCTTTCCATCTCATTTCAGTTACTTTAATTGTGAGCTCTCCCTAGGTTAAAATACAATTTCTTTTTCATTATGTTAGCTCTTATTCTCAATGGTTTGGGCTCAATCAACAAAAGCTGAAGTCTGGTCAGAAATTAACGACTTCTTGTATACTGTATAGTACTATGTAGAACGAAAACAAGAAATAAATAAATTCTTATTTATACGATCTATTTATAAATGTATCTAGTCATTAGCAGTGGCGTAACGTTTCCTGTTGGCACCCCCCCCCCCCTCACCGAAAAAGCTGAAAGCACCCCCCTATTGGTGCCCCACCCTAAAATTGAACAAATTAGGAGATTTTAGAGGATACGCCAATAAAACCTTTAAAAAGTGTGTTTTTAGAGCAAAACGTGCAGTTTGCTAGTACCTCAGTTAAGTTTTTCAAAATTGTCCCACATTCAAACGACGATTTGATGCCCCCATAAGATGGTGCACCCTGCAAAGCGGGGTCAGCGGGGCCAAATTATCGTATCGATTCCCTGATTGAAATGATTCAAGTTTCCAGATGTTTGTTACAAGGATGTGATAAATGTACTTAGCAGTTCGCCCATCCTTTGTGAATGAATTAAAAGGCTAAGCAGACATGGCTGAGGTCTAAGCTCGGGAGAGGGGAATCCAACTTGTGACATGATAACAAAGTATCGAATGGGTTGTTTGTAAGCATGCTTATATCTAAAATGTGTTATATACAATTTAAATATGACACAGAAAATTACAAGTAAACGACATTGCGATCATCGAACAATTAAATGGACAGTGCTGTGAACGCTTCAATTTTGAGATCTCAAATTGAGCGCTCGATTCAAAGTTATTACAAAATATACAAGTGGGTTAATAGTCAATGCGCGGCGCCTGTATTATTTGGATTGCGCGCGTCACTCATCACTGTGCCTGGCCAATTTATTATTAATATGTGATATGGACTGTACCTTAATCTAAAATTAGGTTTCATTCATTCACATATTGTATTTATTACTTATTAATGTTAGTTTAATTTTGTTTTAAATGGAAAAATAAGTCCTTTAATAAAAGCAAAAAAAATCATTATGTATATATAATATATCATTTAAATGTTGAATGCTAAAATCGATACAAATTATAAATATTGAGTAATAAAAACACGTACAAAAATAAAAGTTGTGTTGATAACGCTATAGATAAAAAGTAAAATGTGTGTTGATATTTTTACTGATTAGATGTTGACCGGTTCAATTAAATATGATGGTGCGTAAAATTTAAATTTTCGCTAGCGGCGCGCAAACTACAAGCATCTCCAAGTTTAAGTCTAACTAATTTGCCTCCGCATAAATTTCTAACGTGATGTCATCGTTCAGAGAAGCGTAGAGGTGTGCTCAATGTGATAGTTTTCGCTAAAATAATAATAGTTGTCAAGCAACTTTTCTTTCTGGCTGCCGATCTAATTCGTGTCTCTCCATCTCATCTCACTTCTGTGTTCACCAGTTTCGACTGTTATGATATCTGTTCGTTCTTTTCGACATGTATACTGCCTTAATCGGCATCTGGTTCACTGCAATTGAAACCATTAGGCATTTAAAAGCAAAGCAGTGTAATGATTTCTTGAGATCTCTTAATTTTGACATTAAATTGTCAGGTTGTTTTTCTTCATTTCAAATTTTATGCGAGAGCTTCCAGAGTGCCGACTCTTGTTTCCAGTCTCATTGCATTTATTTTTATATTTATCATAATTAATATTCTGTGCGGAAATGTCATACCATGATTTGTTATCTTGCAGTAGGTAGTTGATGGGGGAGGTAATAGTTAGTTGTTAGGTACTGTTAGCACTTTTCTTATTCTACTATGGGAGATTCTACCACACCCAACGGGGTCTGCGCTTCTGAAGCTTGTACTGATCCAGGGTGAGTTAAATTTCAAGTTAATTAATATTCTATTCGGTGGTTAATCAGGTAATTTGATAATTACGTGGCCATTTTGTCTGCGTTACTGGAGAAGTAATGACTCCCATCCCATCCGGTAATCTAATTGTTGTTTACATCTGAATCCTTAGAAACGCATGGTTAAATTAGCTCTTCGTTGGGATAGTAAATTATTCATGTAAGGTAGAACATGCTGTAAACTAATTAAACTTGGCGGTTAAGAACACAAATATACCTGTTCCAAATCTTCTGGAGGCTGCACTTTGCTTTAATGAATGTTCATTTCATTTGGAAATTCCTCTGCAAAATATGGTACAAATTGGATTACAGAGCAGTGTCTGGAGTCATGTCATACTTAGGAATGCTGATGTAATTGTAAATGTTATATCATTAGATCTTGGCCATGCTCCCCAAAAATATGATAATATTATAAACCCGCCTGTCAAAAGTAAATTCCTTCGATCAAGTCATCCTATATTGTACAAATTATTGATTAAGAAGAATGCTTATTGCTTGACAATACCTCAAAATCAAAATCCATACAGTACATATCACCATAGTTACGATGTACGTATTCAGTTTACTAAACACAATTTCTCAGAACATTTAAAAAGCTATAAATAGAATTACATCATAATTCGACCACGTACGATACATGTAATATCTGGCACGTATGCGATCTGTGGGTAACACACGATACGACCTTGCTCCGCCCGGCCTCAGAGCTATTTGTTTTTGGCTCAGGCAAGCAAATCACAGGGCTATAAAATAACAAAGGTTATCCTCACCAGGGAAAACATTCATTGACAAACGTTTTATTTACCTTTGTCCGGGTAAAGGGAGGAAACCCTAGCTTTGTTAAAAATAATTTAGAGAGAGCTTCAACAGGAAAAGCACACGTACGTTTTTCTCTTTCTTGGCAGCTCCACATCCACCCAAATCCAGAGACCGGAGAAAACATTCTCTTCCGCATCCAATAATTCAAGTAACTCAGAAACTGTAAACTTGTTAAGAGCTAGGGATCTTGCTGAAGAATGTTAACTGAGTTAGTGTTTCGATTAGAACTATAGTTCTAATTCCGATCTGCTCTTGGAAATCTTTCCGCGATAATAAATGAATTATCCGTTAAGGGTTCGTTAGTCCTATAAGTGTCCAGCCTGTCCTTACACAATTCCAGTTATTGTTATGAGAGTGTGCTTTAGATGGAAAAAAACAACAAAGGGAAAGTTCTGACAATGCTTTCCTTTATCACACGTTCCATTCTTAAATCAATAGGCTTAGGTTAAAGTGTAGGTGTGCAGACAATGTCCTGGCCATGGCTTAAATTAACTTTAGAGAGAGTTTTACTGGACAGCACATAATAGAGCAACAGAAAGGCCAGTGATTATTTACTGTATTGTCAAGCAGAATTAATCGACTGTTGCGCTGTATTATAAATATAGCGCGAGTTATTGAATGTAAACAGCTAGTTATTGCAATGGTTATGGCTATTGACCTTAACATGTTCATGCTATAGACGTGTAGCCTTTACCTACCGTTATTATAGACTTATAGACTACGCTAAGCTATATTCCAAGTCTAACATCTCTGCTCTCGTTATTGACTCATACTCATAAGTTACCTCTATTGCCCTGTGCAGCAGAGAGTGCCCTGTGCAGCAGAGAGTGCCCTGTGCAGCAGAGAGTGCAGCCACGTGTGTACTCAATACACGCGCTTATCAGGGAGAGTGTAAGTAAAGTGAGAGGGAACGAAGCGAGTGGGAGATAAAGAGGCCCTCTTAGGCCTGATCCAGGAACTAGGACTGTGCTCGTGTCTGCATATAATTACTCTAGAGAGAGGGGGGAGAGAGAGAGAGAGAGTGCTGCAAATATAACTTGCCTCGATTATACCTTCCCCTCATGAATAATGCTGCCGGTAGACAAGTCCAATTTATTCGACCATGAAATACCCAAAAAGCATACTCTCCCCAGCCTAAATAAGTACACATACACACAGTCTACATTTCTATATAGATACAACTACTCTAGATTTTAAGAAGGTTACTCGTGTGCCAGAGAGATGTAGTTCAGATAGTAAGTACAGTAAACACAGTGTGCAGCAGTGTGCAGCTAGACCCGACTTGAAAGCTAATTACCTAGCAGTACTACTTTCAATTATTAAAACACATTCCAGCCCTGCTCTCCTCTCTCTCTCTCTCTCTCTCTCTCTCTCTCTCTCTCTCTCTCTCTCTCTCTCTCTCTCTCTCTCTCTCTCTCTCTCTCTCTCTCTCTCTCTCTCTCTCTCTCTCTCTCTCTCTCTCTCTCTCTCTCTCTCTCTCTCTCTCTCTCTCTCTCTCTCTCTCTCTCTCTCTCTCTCTCTCTCTCTCTCTCTCTCTCTCTCTCTCTCTCTCCTCTCTCTCTCTTCTCTCTCTCTCTCTCTCTCTCTCTGTACACGGACACCACACGTGACCACTGACTGTGCTCTCAAAATAATGCACCTGTCATGCCAGCTATTAGATACATGACATCTTCACCGACACTCCCCTTATTCTGTGAACTGTAGTGTTTTAGCTGTGTAATGTGTGTGAGTCCTGCGCGAATATTGTCAGCACTCTGTACTCAATTATATTCCCCACTGTTGTTGCTCTGGGCAACCACTGTCGTTATTATTATTCCAGTATTGTTATTACTGATATAATGTCTGACTGATTGGGTTCTGTCATTTTAATTTCCATCCACTGGTGGGTAAATGTCATTCTGTGATGTTGAACACATCAGTCAAAACAAGCCTAAAGTTTAGAACTGTACAGCATCAGAAAATAGAAATTATAACTTATTTGAGTGAGATACTCAAATACTTAAAGTTCTATTTTTAATTTTTACTGTTGTGGTGACCACAACGGGCAAAATATAACTTGAAGTGAAAAACAGAGGTAATTTGTACGTGTTTGGTCATTTATTTATAAGCTGCGAGCCTTCATTGTTTATTTGATGATAAATTATAATCACGACGATATTTGTACATAGGTAACGTAGATACGACCTGTCAATATACAAGATTTCGTGATCGATTCCAGACTGAAGGGAATTCCTCGGATTGTTTAATCCCTCTGAACGGAAATCTGACACTCGGACACTCTGTATTGAATAGAATTACCATTTCAGTGGAGGTATAAAAGGGAATGTAGTATTAAAATCATATATGTTCATTAATCACGTAGCCACCGAGACTATCTCCTACCGCTTACACCAGGATTAGATCACAATAATAACCAGTAACCACCGTCCACCACCACCTCTCCCTCTCTCTCTCTCTCTCTCTCTCTCTCTCTCTCTCTCTCTCTCTCTCTCTCTCTCTCCTCTCTCTCTCTCTCTCTCTCTCTCTCTCTCTCTCTCTCTCTCTCTCTCTCTCTCTCTCTCTCTCTCTCTCTCTCTCTCTCTCTCTCTCTCCCTCTCTCTGTCTCCACCTCACGTTTTCCATCTCAGCAGTGATAAGACTGACAAAAGTACCTCACTAAATTGAGAGTTATATCTTGCACACAGATGTGCAGATAATAACTGTTTTACTGGCCTACATAGCACATAATATAACGTAATAACGTATTAACGACATGCACCTGTAGTCTCCAGTGTGAACCACAAACCAATATCTCTGTGTACCGTACTTGGGTATCTCAGAAAGAGAAAGACATTGGTCTGTGGTTTCCAGGTTTTAAGTGAGCCTCATTTTCCAATATTCAGCCCGTTAAAGCGGTTTATCCATATTAATATTAGCCTGAAAACGTGGCACGTGCCCTTTTTAAGGCTTGTCTGTGGTAAAAGTAATATCCCTTACAACGGGTTATTTATTTCACACACACCTAACTACCCTTTATCCCATAATATATCTGTTGGTAATAGGTAGTTTATCTCCTACTATCTCCTACTATTATCAGATACGCAAGCCAGATATATATAGTGTACGTGGAATAGCTAGCTAGATAGGTGGAATGTTGAGCGGAACAGTTAGAGCGCGTCTCATTGTTTGCTTTGTTTGTACAAGGAGAGATACAACTGTAATACTGACACACTTACCGTCTTACGCAGTACTGACACAGTGTAATACTGACACACTTACCGTCTTACCCAGTACTGACACAGTGTAATACTGACACACTTACGCTAGTTATCGGATAGAGGAAGCCAATGTTTGTGTTTTTCATGTACAGAGAGAGAGAGAGAGAGAGATAGTTGGTGTTCAGCTGCAAGCTAATGTTATTATTGTAAGAAACGCCGTGTATTAACCTGCTACCTGCCTGGTTGCGTGTGTACACGTTTGTTAAAGCAAAATGTCGCAATTTTTAACTGATGATGCATTATCCTGAAAAGTGTATTGAACATGTCAGCTGTTTATTTCTCATTTCTCCTGTAAAATAGAGAGAGATGGTAAAGATAGTGCAGACATGCTCGCAACTTGAGATTTTAGAAAAACCTCACCGAAATCCCACAACAATGTTTACGTACCTAGACTAGTTATTCTGAATATCATTAGTTATTGTACACTCAGAGCACACACACACACACTGTGAAAGTGTGAGGCGTGGTGTACACTGCCTCAATGAGGCCTGCTCCTCGTGAGGCTCACATTCCTACCTCTGCGCTCTCTTATTGGTGGAGCCAGCTTTACACTCGGTCTAGCCAGCTAGCCAGCTAGCTTCCACATCGCACACCTGTGGCTTATACTGATTCTAGGAGGATGATCCAAACGAGGAATGAATGGTATTCTGTTATCCAGTGCACTATCTCGTCCTTACTCGAGTCTGATCAGAAAAAGGTTCTGGAATTTTGAACACAAGAGATCATTGATTGATACTCAGCAACAGTTGATGGTTGCATAAGATTCACTTTACGATAATCATCAAACAGAATATTGAAGAATTAAACTTACTCTTATAATATTTCTGCTAGTCAAACTGTCTGATGGGATTATGTGGATATCATTATGTAACGTTAGTAATAAAATACGTGTCATTATGTTACATCAGTTGCAAAATACGTGCCATCTAGACGTATTAGCTAGACCAATCTACTGTTCCCTAACTAGACGTGTCTACTATAAGTAGATGTGCACTGTGCCCCTGACCTAAACAGAGAGAGAGAGAGAGAGAGAGTTTCAGAGTAATAGTAACACTTCAGAGTTGAGTAGCTACACACACTCTTCTACTGACAATAGTTTATTCATATAGTTCACCACCACTAGTTATCACTGCTCCTTCTCACAATGTTCCAGCTCCACATGCTACAGCTACAGAACTGTCGTCTGACAACAACTACACCACGTGTCAAGTTATGTAACAGCTGACTTTTTTTTTTGGAGAAACCTGTTAAGTTGACGTCCTCTGAATACCGGACACTAATCTGTATTCCCGAGGGAGTACGGCCAGCGTGAATCCTATCATTGATATTACCTGTAATTTGAACTGGTAAAAGTTAGCCTTCCCGGAATACTGCAAGTCATTGGTTAGTGGGTATATAGTATGTAGAGGAGAGTAGCAGGGTAGACCTCACATGTCCCACCCGCAGAATTTAACCTCATTAGGCCACAAGTTGTTTTTCTATCGAAAGTGTGGGCACTTTCGCTGAATGTTACAACGGATTGGATCAATATTAAACATGTGCTTCTTCCTAAAATGGCCCAACCCGAGGGGTTTCTAAGAAATATTGCAGTCTGCAGACCAAGAAATTAATCTCCACTAGCTTTACCACACAGCACAACCCCCTCCACAAAACCAAAAACCGTTACTTTATAATTACAAAACCTCCATCTCCCTCTCAAGAGAGACAAAACCAAAATCCGTTACTTTATAATTACAAAACCTCTCTCTCGCTCTCAAGAGAGACAGGGATTAATTTACAACAAACACCTCTCCAGAGTCTACACACAGATCCCATTGTATTACATAATACACAATATTCTCAGAGATAATATATTTAACTTAACGTTTAGCAGCAGCAGTATATACTATATAACACTTGTCCCGGAGCTAGCTAGCTGGTGTAGAGTTGTAACCTGATGTAATGGCGGTGTGGGGAGGCGGTGTGGGGAGGCCAGCAGCAGCAGCAGCCTCTCTCAGTAAGACACGCAGCCTCCCTCCCCACATCACCGCCACCTGGTCCCTCTCACCCCGTCTACACTCTACAGCACACACTCCTACCTACCTAACAGTAACACCGGCCGTCTGTCATTGTATCCCACAATTACACTTCCATCCACACTCCTGCCATCCCCTTTATTGCCAATATATCTCCCCTCTTTTTGGGGGGTTGTTCAGTAAGGTGGGGGTTTATTGCGGCGCTGTGCTATACCGCCTACTAATTAGGTCATCATATGGTGATGTGGCGTAGTGTTTTGTTTATGAAGGTAGAGTTTCAACATAAAACTGCAACCACCTGGCCCTCAAAGGGACTAGTTTTTACAACCATTAATTCAATATCATCCTCTAATCTCGCAATATCATATGGCATATCACAATTATCTTGTCAATCATAGCGTCGAATCTGCAACAGTCTGAAAATCTATGTGATTATAAATATTGCTCCTCATTGAAAGTGAAAACTTCACAGATTATACGAATTATTGTTTTAAAGATCGTACATGTAGCTGGTGTGTCGCGTGGTCGACAGTAGTAAATCTCACAGCTTTAAAAATACAAGGCACGCCTTGTCTTTTCTGAGACAAATCAATCGTATTTTAAAGGAAAAGAATAGAAAAATCTTTATGTTATGCTATTAAAAATGACCGCTAGAAAATCTTGCTTGCTTGTTATCAAGCAGCCACTTCGCCGTGTTTTTAATGTAAGTCTAGTGCTGCTACGTCTTTACTTTATCATATTATATGTACGTGCGTTATTCTATATAGTACACTGGTAAAGACTTAATAAGATATTGTACATTTTAATAAGATGCTAAGATGGCAATATAGACCTGGTATGGGTACTGCTAAAGACTTTGTAAGATAAGATAAGATAAATAAGATATTGTACATTTTAATAAGATGGAAATATAGACCTGGTCTGGGTCTACCAATGACCACTAGAGACGCCACCCATTACGTTTAGCTTGGACCGTACTCCTCAGCTTCTAAACGACTATTTTTAAACTTCTGAACACTACAAGACTAACTTTACTACCAGTTTTAAGTATGATTAAGTACAATTAGCTGATGTAATTAGTGTAAAATTAAGCCAGGTAATTCTCTGGGAATTCTCTTGTTCTTCTCCTCCTCCTCTTGCTGGAGCTGCAAAGAGAAATAATGTGAAACTTCAACCCAGGTTAAAGTTCGTACAAATCTAGAATTTTCTGGCTCGTCAAATTGATCCAGTAAGTTAAAAGTTAGTATAGGGTCTATGTGAAGTATTGTACGTATAATAGGGTTAAATACCGCAACTTAGCTGTCCCGGTAGAAATATGTTGGTTCTAGAGTTGACAGTTAAGATTTATCAGATCAACTCTTTGTCTTGATAACGGTGGTACTGGATACAAACACCCTCAGTACGGGATCTGACTTAAAGTTAACATAGTTCACATCGCTCACATACCTTACAAATATTTGCTACATCAAGTGTAAACATACGGAGGTTGAAAATACCGGGAAAAGTAATAAAATCCTAATTTTTGTCTGACGTCACCAGAAAGTTAATAGATAAATCTAATCATGTAAACACCGATCCAGGGTGATCCATAATATTCGCGAACAAAAAGGATTCTGGAATAAATTTATTAGTCATCTTATTAAAAAACTACTCAATTAACGGTTATCTAATTTTCAGGAAGTTATTCGTTGGAGGGCTGAGTTGGCAGACGACCCCAGACAGTCTGAAAAACTACTTTCAGAAGTTTGGTGAACTAAAGGAATGTTTTATTATGTGTGATCCCATCACTCGGAGGTCGAGGTGTGTAATTACTGTTTATAAACCGTTTATAAAGTATTTATAAAACGATCAATTTAAGTTCTATACAGACATTATAGTGTTATTAATCGAATTTTTGCAAAAACTGCAAAACATCTGAAATTAATATTCGAACATTCCTGACCGTAGACCAGAAATACCTAGTCCCCACTTAACTTGTGATATTTGCAAGGTTTTACCGGCACCATACTATCACATAAATTTAGATATATCAACACCCATATTTACACTTACATAACTGTTTTTAAATTTATGAGTATTCGTGACATAACTCTCAGCTTGACAAATTTCATTAATATAACCCAAAAGTTAAACGGTTTCCGAAATATTCTTACGATAAACTTGCTTGTAAGTAACAAATTAAACCCCATACAATATTGAAATATTGAGGTGAAACCATGGCACTACTTTCTTGTACTTAACCCTTACATCTTAGTACAGACAGATCCGTCTGAAAAAATCGATCTGCCGACACACAAAGCTTACAAAGGATTTTTGACGTTTTTGAGTCCTAATAGATGTCCTTTATGGCTGACCAACTTTTCCAAACTTTTCCACGTGTCTTAAGGCCACTTTTTGCCACTTTACCACTTTTTACCACCTTTCTTGTTTGTCGAATATCTTTAGTTGTGAACATCGTAAAAGGTTGCGGATCAATCGAGTGTGTTCATATTACCATGAAGAAAAACTTTTGTTCTAACAATTTTTACGTCAGATAATCATTTAATTGGATAATTATCAATTAGCTAATTAGCAAAATTCTACAAAATTTTTATTGGCTCAAAATGATCGGAATAGCTCAAAACACGGAGAAAAGTAGTTTTTAGAAAAACTTTGAAAATTTTTCACTTACATTTTTTTTCGAGACTTGGAAAAATTTCGAAAATTCAAAAAAAAAATTTCCGCCAAAAGTGATCAAATCGCATAAAACGCGGAGAAAAATGCTTTTCAAAAAAAATTAGTGAATTTTTCGTTTCAAGAATACTTAAATCCCCAATATTTGTAGTTGGAGTTCAGTAAATCGCGGCAGATTTTAGTAATCAGGAATTACTAAGTGGAAAGGTATGAAACTGAAAAACGTTAACCATACGATAAAAGAGTTTCATAACTAATTACAATACAGCCTTATCGATTTTCACAGAAACTGCACCAATGGCACAGTCAAGATCGAAAGACGAAACGATAGCCTGCTGTACTATCATTTTATTGATTTCAATGATGAATCAGTGGGGTTAAGATAATCACATTTGTAATAAATAAAACCTCTCTGTACCGTCAATTGTGCTAATCTAAACCGGCCTACCTGGATTACCAGACCTCTTCTTTTCCTCAACAATCAAACCAAGTTGTTCATATAGTATTTGGTGGGCGATGTAAGTACTTATCGAGCTGTATTCAATCACAATACGACACAATACGTGTATATTATATGGCTCTTAATGAGGTTTATGAAACGCTTAATACCGTGAGAAACCCGGTATAGAGACGTTTTACAGTTTATCACGAAAACGTATACTTGGCCTCATGGCTCATTTACAGTTCGAAGAAGGCAAGAACAGACCAGGGAAACTAAGGAATAGCCATATCCAGGAAGCAAGTGTAAATACACCTTCCAACATCTACTGTGACTTGTTTTGTATTACCAGACCTCTTCTTTTCCTCAACAATCAAGCCAAGTTGTTCATATCGCATTTGGTGGGCGATGTAAGTACATATCGAGCTGTATTCAATCACAATACGACACAATGCAATACGTGTATATTATATTATGGCCCTTAATGAGGTATATGAAACGTTCAATACCGTACACTTCTCGTTTCTCCCGTGAGAGGCCCGGTATGGAGAGGTTTTACAGTTTATCACGAAAACGTCTACTTGGCCTCATGACTCTTTGACAGCTCAAAGAAGGCAAGAAAAGACCAGAAAGCTTAAAATGTCAACTCGCTCTTTTCAATGCTCTTCGATCTGTCCCACATTAATCCCGAGCTGATCATCATGGGCCCCGAATATCCTGCGGGAAGAACCTGTATTTTTACTTCACAACGTCCGGATTTTAAATCAACATCCTCAATAACATTAACAATCCTTCCTGATCAGGATCTGTCTCTATTAGCAATTTCCAAAATATCCTGACTCTCGTGGAACATTTTACTGAATGAATTATTACCGGTTCTTTACTACCCTTGCCCGACGCTCGTATCTAAATCTTATCCTTGCCCGTATGTTACCCTTGTTGATTTTACTTTTAGCCGACCCTGACATATGGGGGTGATTTTATACCGCATAGCAAATGAAGCGGTATGCAGTACAATACAAAACAAGTCACAGTTGATGTTGGAAGGTGTATTTACACTTGCTTCCTGGATCTGGCTGTTCCTTAGTTTCCCTGGTCTGTTCTTGCCTTCTTCGAACTGTAAATGAGCGATGAGGCCAAGTATACGTTTTCGTGATAAACTGTAAAACGTCTCTATACCGGGTTTCTCACGGTATTAAGCGTTTCATAAACCTCATTAAGAGCCATATAATATACACGTATTGTGTCGTATTGTGATTGAATACAGCTCGATAAGTACTTACATCGCCCACCAAATACTATATGAACAACTTGGTTTGATTGTTGAGGAAAAGAAGAGGTCTGGTAATCCAGGTAGGCCGGTTTAGATTAGCACAATTGACGGTACAGAGAGGTTTTATTTATTACAAATGTGATTATCTTAACCCCACTGATTCATCATTGAAATCAATAAAATGATAGTACAGCAGGCTATCGTTTCGTCTTTCGATCTTGACTGTGCCATTGGTGCAGTTTCTGTGAAAATCGATAAGGCTGTATTGTAATTAGTTATGAAACTCTTTTATCGTATGGTTAACGTTTTTCAGTTTCATACCTTTCCACTTAGTAATTCCTGATTACTAAAATCTGCCGCGATTTACTGAACTCCAACTACAAATATTGGGGATTTAAGTATTCTTGAAACGAAAAATTCACTAATTTTTTTTGAAAAGCATTTTTCTCCGCGTTTCATGCGATTTGATCACTTTTGGCGGAAATTTTTTTTTTGAATTTTCGAAATTTTTCCAAGTCTCGAAAAAAAATGTAAGTGAAAAATTTTCAAAGTTTTTCTAAAAACTACTTTTCTCCGTGTTTTGAGCTATTCCGATCATTTTGAGCCAATAAAAATTTTGTAGAATTTTGCTAATTAGCTAATTGATAATTATCCAATTAAATGATTATCTGACGTAAAAATTGTTAGAACAAAAGTTTTTCTTCATGGTAATATGAACACACTCGATTGATCCGCAACCTTTTACGATGTTCACAACTAAAGATATTCGACAAACAAGAAAGGTGGTAAAAAGTGGTAAAGTGGCAAAAAGTGGCCTTAAGACACGTGGAAAAGTTTGGAAAAGTTGGTCAGCCATAAAGGACATCTATTAGGACTCAAAAACGTCAAAAATCCTTTGTAAGCTTTGTGTGTCGGCAGATCGATTTTTTCAGACGGATCTGTCTGTACTATCTCTCAGTACTCAGTAGTGTACATAAAACCATATAAATTAGATCTACTCCCAATCTTGTATCCTAGCAACCAGACTATATATATCACCAGTTCTCCAACAATTTTGTATTCGTCATTTTCCAAAACCTGACACCCTAATCTCTGTCGATGGGAAACTTTTGATTCGCAAACGAGTCCCATATTAATGAAATTTTCTGTTAATATCCCCGAGAAAATTCTGATGAAAGTATTATTTAACGTGGTTTTCAACCAGGATTGGAGAGTATGAATATTTTTGAGATAACATTTTTTGTGTACACAGTTGCACGACCAGTGCATGTGTAGGAGCTATTTTAATGACACCTTCAATATAAAACGGTAATCTAATTTCGCAACAGCTGCTCTCGTTCAACATTGGATGATAGAGAAATAAAATGATATAATAATGCCTATAAAGCTGCAACCTCATCAAGTCAGCCGTGTAAGAGAGAAATGCATTTAAAGTGTTGCTCAACAATGAAGAGCGTGTTCAGAGTGGGCCCAGACTCTTCCTCTATATAAAATATAAATATTCGCTAGATCTTCCTCTATACTACGTGGAATTGGAAGGAAAATTTTTGACAAAATCTTTATTTTCAGAGGGTTCGGTTTCATAACGTTTGTTAACTTGGAGGACAGTGACAAGGCAGTGGCTCAAGAACCCCACATACTGGACGGAAAAAAGGTGAGTCGAAAGTCAAAAGTAAATGGGTATTCTAAGAAAAATATATTCCCCGAAAATATGCAGATTCCATGAAAAAATTAATCTCCACTAATCTTGGAACTTTGGAAGCAGTACAACCCTCTAGCCACAAAACCAAACACCGTTATTTTATAATTTTGATTACGAAACCTCTCTTTCTCGAGACATGGATTTAAAACGAACACTTCCCACAGTCTACACACAGAGATTTGAATTTTGAATAATCTACAAATATATAATATTCAAATACTACTTCCTCTACATGCGCCTACCTTACCATAAATTATATTTAATAAAAGTAGTCGCGTACCATTAAATAGTAAGGTAGGTTTGAGTATTTTTATGGGGTTAGGAAATACTGTTCGATAAATAAAGCTAAATCTTTTTGCGTGCTTTAGTTGTGAAGTGAAACTTAATTTTGTGACTAATTTTGTACACGTTTAAAAAGATGATAAGGTTGGGTGTTTTAATCCTTTATAATTGTTGCTAAAAAGACAAAAGAGTCTCAAGTCTCCTGGTGTCGCAAGTGTGTGCTCCAAGATACCTAACAGTTTACATTCCACACATTCCTACTAAGTGCCACCTACACACTACACACAAGGTACACACACACAGCTATGAATGATAATGGGAGTAAAACTAATAAAACAGCGCTCTCGGCACAGTGTCTCGGCTCCTGCTACTCTGCAAAGTTATTATAGACGGGGCTGGGTTATGAGTAGCTGGTTCTCGCTGCACACGTACAGTTACATACTGGAGATGAGTACAATAGTAAACCTAGCTACAAATACTAAGTACATACAGAGTGCCCCCCCCCCCCCCCCCCCCCCCCCCATTATAAACCTTTTCACCACACTGATACCCATGAAAACAAGGATCTCAAATAGTCTTATCCTAGCATAATAATAATGTGCTTTATGTACGTTCCCCTGTAAATTAACCTGGAATTACATTAGTGGAACGCCGTGATGGTGTGGTGGACTGAGCCGGTCCACTTTGAAATTACATTTAAGAGAATATTAATTGATCCCCTAGATTGGATGTGCACTGAGTGCGCTCTATAAAACGCACTTCATACCTTAGTTACAATGGTAGTGTGTACACGCGCTGGTTTACTCCTCCGCAAAGTTATTACTGTCATTAGAGTGGTGGTATACTACACTGATACACACTGATACACACTATCTATCTACGTGTACCTCATGTAGATGGTGCACAGCACATTGTTGCTCGAAAGGACGTGGATCATATACGAACAGCTACAATTGTTGTGAAATTTGTGGTTTCAACACTTGTAGTATAAATACCTGCTTCTGGAAGATCTGGAGCTATAATATGTCCGCACAATAACCGTTTAACTGATTTAGGGAGCTTTTGCCCATCTTGGGAATAGAATCGGAATGATCCAGAGTTCCATGGAATGATCCAGAGTTCCGAATAATGCTGGTCCGTTACCACTAGTCACTACAAAATATTAATATTTTTATAGATCTCCGTAAACACGTACACATTTGATACGACCTGTGACAGTGACTGTGTAGTACGTGTGAGTGTGTGATAGTTGTGGTTATGGAGCCTTATTTCTACTTATACATAAAGTGCACGTGACAAGTGAAAAAGATTAGCTTCATTACACGTTACATTGCTGTATTGAGAAAAACATAACAAGCATTTAATTGCACAACTTTTACTCAGGCTTGCTCAATGATGGTAAAACTTGCACTTCGAAAATCTTTAAATGGCGTGCAGGAGATGATGATTGAAACTCTTTCTTTATCTTGAAAGGCGACGAAGACACATTTTTATATTATAAAGAACTTTAGAATTTTATGAATTTTCAACAATTTCAATGAAATCGAAGAAACAATGAGTTAGAGAAATTTACTGCACCATCACGCACTAATAATAGTCTCATCTTTTCAACCCCGCCCCGCCCACTTATAAGAAAATGAACAATATCTCTGTGCAGCTGCACAGTTGTTCTCTAAAGTGAAATAGAAGGTACCTATTGTGACATGTAAAAACTAAAGTGCTGTGTATTGTGTGGATACAGGAGGGCGTGCTATGAGTGGTGGTTGCCACGTAAGCTGAAGAGTTTAGCTAAGGAGGGGGCTAAGTTAACATTGTCCCTGTGTGCTAACAGCTATAATATCCAGGGAGAACAATACACCCTTACGTATGTAACCTGAGGATCGTGTTAAGATGTGCAAACAATGTGTGGTGGTGTGTCATTAGTGTGCACTTTCACTATAAACAATATCACGTGACCGTGTCATGTGACTGGACTTACTGTCTATAACAGCGCTGACGTGAAATGGAGACACTCCTTTTAGTTTCTCAACCCATTAGTAAAACATGTTACGTGGAGGTAGTTAGGATATTTGGGAGGCTGGCAACATGTAATTAGGGGGACAATATCCCAATTTTAGCAAGGATTGAAATGCATTAGAAGGGAACTGGAGCAGGGTAAAGCTTGTCAGAGATTCCACTTACATGGTATTGATGGTAGTAATGCGTGTTAGTCACCATGTTCCAATACGATGAGTTGCCATGGCGACTAGCTACAAAATACTGGATCACTCTCTCTCAACAGTCATTGAAGCCTTTATAATATAAGGGAATGTTTACAGCCCACAGCATTACAGCAACCATAAGGTATACTTATTAACTCTGGGGAATTTAGCCTATTGCATTTTGTTCAGATGTTTCGACTGTCGAAATAACATCAAATTAAAAATAATGACCATATTGTTTTTACACTTTAATTACGTGATAAATGGCCTTGTTATAAAATTCATAATGTAATAGATGTAATATTCCAAACGTGGGTACAAAACACCAACACCAATCTGTCATACCCTCCGATTATCCTAAAAGCAGAAGCCAGTATAAAGTATGGACTGTGCTGTCTTGGGCCGTGCTGGAGTAAGGACCCCTTGGCCTGTGTGCGTGTGTGGGTATTGAATGAAGGTAATCAAATTGTAAACATGATCTCATGTCATTCGATTACCCCTGAATTAGACCCACGCGCTCTTTAGGATTTACGTAGGCTGAAGTATTTTGTTAACGTTAACCCTGGCAACCACTACAACAATTCATGGCTTGAACCCGTAGTACTGCCCGTTATGGCTTTATGCTCTCTCTCTCTCTCTCTACTTAGAGACAGACTGTTTCTATAAATGGACCATTACAGAAGTGATGTTCACCACTTAGGAGGAGGACAAATTAATATTCAATAATAATTTCCGTTTAAAATGTTACCATGCTCTTGTACGCACATTCGGATATGTCGCTGTTTTTTCAGTACATCTGAAGGCGTGTAATTAGCCAATTTGTAAGAGTAATCAGGCCATGTTTTCTTGTGTGAAGTTATCCTGGACTGTGATATAATAACAGGTTATTAACAATCAATTAAGGCTGTATGAAGCTGGTTACGTGTCACTTCTGTTAAATTCGGTTAATATATTTGTGAGTCTGGTAAGCGGTACAGTTAACTCAATCGAAAGTATGTTTTGACTGGTTGATTCGTGATCGAATTTGTAGAAGATAAAACCGTTAATAAGTTTATAGGCGCGAGCGAGTTTAGGGCACATGCTATAATTGTCATCAGAGACACCTTTCACAGTGCTGTCAGTCGCGCGCGAAACGAAATAATATACCGTGACTCTAAAATTTAAGCACTCAGTGTGCCAGCACAGAAAACTTTGCACGCGAGTACATAACGCGCACTCAGGAAAATGTGGTTCTGCCAGCTAAATCGATATAAACCCTAAATTCTAACCCTGATTTAATGAATCACCATGAAGGTATTTATCTACATGAACATAACATCAACATTTTTTCAGATTGACCCCAAGAAAGCATTCCCTAAAGTTCCTAACTCCAAGGTAAGTTAATCTGAAACTGTTTCGGATGTCGATTTTAATTTTTCAGCGATTTCATAAATTTTAAACCAAATTTACTTGATGATCAACTAAAAATGATAAGTTATTTTTTCGTTTCAGTTCGTTACCAAAACGAAGAAAGTATTTGTCGGTGGAATCCAGCATGGAACATCGGAGGGAGACCTTAAAGAATACTTTGAAAAGTTCGGGGATGTGACAGAAGTTACGATTATGTTCGATAAGATTACCACTAGGTGTAGGGGATTCGGTTTTGTTACTTTCGACGAAGAAGATAGTGTTGATAAGTGTTGTGATGAACGATATCACATCATAAACAGCAAAAGGGTACGACGTTCACATTTATTTTTATCAAATCAACTGATGTTTAAAAACACAAACTTGTAAGACGTTCTCCAATACTCAAAATAACGATATTTCTCACCAATTTGTAAATTAATCTTAAACTTATCATCAGGTTGAATGTAAGAAAGCGCAACCGAAGGAGGTGATGTTCCCTCCACAAGGTCGTGGAATTTACCTGGGTCGCGGAGTCATCACTCGACCTGGCTATGTCTACAGTAGGGCTGACTACAACCCTGTTATCGGCTACTTCCAGCCTCAGTTCACCCCAACTGCTAGAACTAGATTTGTCTCTCCCACTCCTCCCAGAACCAGAGCTTATTACCATGGTTACGGTTAGTTGCTTGTCTTAATGTGATAATTTTAGAAACGTTCGTTCCACAGAGAAAACTACTATTGCACTTTTATAATTGGGGTGTTTTTCTGTACATGATTTCAGCATGTTTTTGTGTCTTTGCATGCTTTTGGGGATTAGCGAAGCTATATTTCAGATGCCCCTGCCTTCGTAGGTCCTGCATATGGAGCACTACCCCCAAATTACGCTGTAGACCGCCGTGCCATCACGTCCTCTTACCTGACTGATTACAATCAGCTGGCTATGACCGCCATGCCAGCTACAGGACTGCCAGGTCGTGGTCGGGAGCTGTCTTCTTCACCTACTGTTCCTGCTGCAGGAGCTCAGCCTGGTGGTGAGGCCTATCCTGAGGGCTACAGTGAGTGTGTTTCTCAGTATTGATAATTGTGCTATGTTTACTTTTTGAACATACCTGAACGTTTAACTGAACAAGTAAATTTTATCGTGTTTACACTCTGTACATCACTACATCGACATTAATCCTGTCCTCTTGATACTACATAACTACACCTACTAAGATATTATATATCACATGACACAAACTAACAGTAAGATAATTTCAGCCCACTTTGCAAGTCCGATGTACTCTCCGTTCAGTGCGTCCCCCTCTCCCAGCAACCCTCAACACTACAGGGCACAACAACTCAATGGTCCTGACAACTTGACCAGCAACGCTGCTGGACTCACCATGCCAAGCTACAATTCTCTTACTGTCAGCTCATCCGTAAGTTTTTTTACTTTACCTTCATTTATTTAGTTATATACTTATTTTGTGGTAGAGATTGAAAGTTGAATTCGCATTGGTGTTAGCGTATATATGATGTAGTGTTCAGATCTTAGGGATTGAAAGATGTTCTATGATCGATTGCATTGTTTACAGCTAGAGAAATTATAATCCGACATTCGTTTCAGGGAGCATATGGAAGCACTGTCAATCCTAGCTACTCTCAGGCACAACGACAGTTTTGATAGCTTGAACACGTGATAGCCGTCACGGGTGAGTCACGTGGTTGTCTCGTGGATGCCACGTGCTACTCAAATTTCCCCGGGGTAGTGCCCGAGGGACTACAACTTTTAATCTGAGGCTTTACTATCCGAAACTCTGGGGTTATCGGTCTGAGTGAGGCTTCCCCGCTGTCACGAGACATTGAGATTCGGTCTGATTACGTCATAGAGTGTGATGACGTCATGAAGTGTAGTGTCACGTGACTGCACTTCATACTTTGTCTGATATTGTGATTGTGATATATTATAAACGTTACTGGCTACGTTTGGATTTGATCTAATATACACACCTAAAACTTTACGATATTTAATAAATTCAATATGTATTTGTTGAGCTTTGTAACATATTACCCCCATTGATTTTGGTACCGAGGTAGATATATTCTGCTGCCAACATCTTTATTGTTAAAACATATAATCCATCCTACAAAAGATCCTATTTCCTAAACTAGAGATCTTTTAATCGAAGCAAATTGCAAAATTCAGTAATGTAAAATTGTAGAATACAGCTCCAAAAAGTGTTGGTCTGATTATCCCGTTCACCTTGAGATAAATTCCTTGAATTCCAGCCTTTTGAGGTACATTATACCTCTAACCTCGGTACACTTGTATTTGTTCAGGTTACAAGACCCAAATTTAGAGTTCTAGAAAGTTTGCTCCATAGTATTATAGTGTGTTTGTTACCATGGCAACCCAGAGTATGTGACCTAGTCACAATCTGCCATTGCCATGGTAACACATTATTATTTTATGACAGAGCATGAGTATTTATTATATTGATGACTGATATAAAAGCTATAGTAAGTTATTTAGCTCCTTGGTATGTGCCGATTTAAGAAGGGTTTCCGTTTAAGAATTTCAGCTATTTTGGGTTTCCGTGTTTGTTTAGAACTTAGAAAATGTGCCGTTTGTGTATATTTTTTGTGAATTTGGTTAAGTTTTTATAACATGTTTTTATCGAAGCTCGATAGTCATAAATAAGAAACCCAGAGCGCCACTTATTCCAGCCCATTGAAAGTTAAGTGGCGCTAACGATTACGTATATGAACCCGTATATAGATACCATTATGTCTGGCCAGTGCCCTGTTTTCTTCTGTTACAAACCTAGTCTCTCACGAAGTTACGGTACAGAGTTAAATACGATGTTGTTATGCATACCGTGGATAATCCTTGGGTATTTAATGTGTATAATAGGTACAGAAATGTGTGGTAGAAATTATAATTAATAACACTTAAAATAATAATATGAGCTGTGTGTTGTACAAAGTTTATAACATGATCAAGAACTTGGAGTTATAGAATTTAAGAATTTAGAAAGTTTAGAAGTTATATTGTAGTAGTGTATTGGTATTAGAATTAGTATGTAGCGTATAGACGTTAGAGTATAAATTTTTGTTTATCGCGGCTGACGATTTAGTCTCCTTTTAATTTGTACCAGTTTACATAAAATAAATTCGTGTTATTTCACGTTTCCATCCTAGTGGTCCCCCCGAGATTGTGCTATATTGTCAGCCGCCTTTAAGCGAAACATGTTGCAAGGTTCTTTTATTTTTTGGGATTCACCAACGAATACTTTGTGGTTGAAGTATTATATTTGTAAAACTGTTTTGTACTAAGATAGTTGCCAGCCGTTCTCAGTACGGTTTCTTGTAAGTCCTTGTCATCATCGATCAGGGTATCCCAAACAACAGGTAAGACAAATAATGTAGTCAGTTATAAACTGTCTGTGATAGTCATCCTGCATCATTCGACTCAATTTAACACTGATGAATATGGCCACAATCGGTTGATTCGTGGCATAAAAATACTTTACTGCTAAGTTATCTAATCTAAACAACTTTGGGTGCTAGTTCATCGATTTGGGATACTCTGTGATGATGAATTTACGTCAGAATGGTTTAAAACCACATTCGAGACGAAGCCTCCATTCCTTTAGCAATAGCGTTATAATAAAATTTACCGACACTGAAAGATGGTAATCCATATCACGTGCATTATATTCCACGAAGACGGCAACTTTATAGAACTTGCAGCTGCCAACAAACAATCATCTTTCAGTGTCAAAATGTCACATTACTTGCAAGTATTTGGTTCCGATTACTATTTTATGAGCTTGCAGTTCGTAACTTTCGTCTTACAATTGCATGATTCATATTGAGCTGTCACGTCCTCTTGGTATTGACAATATTAACGAGGCAATGCTACAGATATCGGTTCTTTTCTCCTGCTGTTTGTTAATGGTATTCTGCAAATTTAAGTGCATTAATACACTAAATATGTGGTTACTTTGAAGAAAAATATACGCTTCGAATATGATTTGATTTTTTACAGATTTATTGAGTTTCAAGTTACGATTATGTGTTACCGATAAGTTTCGATTAAGTTACGATTTGTGAAAAATGTTTAAAGCTTTTATACAGTAACTTTAAGTAGTATGAATTGAATTACCTTAATTAAAAAATTTTTGGGAGCTAGCGGGCTCATCATGATAATGAAACATGTGCTTAAATCTAAAATTTCTAGGTCTTTATTGCGGATTGTATCACGAGTCAGTTAATATAGTTTGCAATGTTGTCACGTGATATGCAGTATAACAGTATTGTGAAAATCAACGCCTTACAAAAACTGAATCCTGTTTTTTATTTATTATAAACAGTTCATTACTCCGAAACTCTGCAACCGTTAGCTGAAAAGAAATTTATAGTTGTTATTATATGCAATATGACACCCAGAAAACATGTTCCACTTATTGCTTATACATTATAAATATAACCAATAATTATTTCACATATTAAACGAATTGGTGCTCAAATAGCTGATGGGTCGCTGATTACCTTACCTGGGGACCTCAGGCTATCATGTTCATAAACATTGAACATGTAGAATAGAGATTAGGCGGAATGACAGGTTGAGCGCGGCCCAGTAATGATTACCTGGCACGCCAATCCCAATGGCAATACGCTCTTTTCGAGCTTCTCGCATTTGCATTGACGAGTGGTTTACATTGGTGAGTGGTTTGTAGGTTTATAACCTACCAAGACGCGCGCCGACGGTATATTGAAACAAAATATTGAAACAAATATTTTACGAGTATCACCCGTTAACAGTTAATGAGTGGTTCGCATTGGCAATTGGCGAGTAGTTCGCATTGGCGAGTGGTTCGTATTGCCATTGGTGAGTGGTTCTTGTTGTCATACGTTGTATGACCCGCCGCGCACGAGTGCGCGGCTCCCCCTGTATCGTAGAAACTCTACTATCGTCGCGTAGAAACTTTACTATAGTGAAGCGACAGTGGGGGTCACCACGTGATACAAGGTTCTTGACCATTGTTAATGATCAGGCCCGGCGCGCGCTACTTCGAATTTGTATCACGTGGTGACCCCCACGGTCGCTTCACTTCGACGCTACAGGGGGAGCCGCGCACTTCGTGCGCGGCGGGTCATACAACGTATGACAACTTCGAATCACTTGCCATTTCGAGCACTCGCCATTTCGAGAAGAAAGCGCGGCGCGCGCTACTTCGAAGAAATTTAGACGAGTAACATCCGTCAAAGTGGTTCGCATTGGTAAGTGGTTCGCATTGGTAAGTGGTTCGCATTGGTGAGTGGTTTGCCTAACCATGTGTCTCCGGCCGCGTACTACTGGCACTGCAACTGCATACTGTGTACTTGTCATATGTTGTATGACCCGCCGCGCACGAGTGAGCGGCTCCCCCTGTATCGTAGAAACTCTACACCATAGTGAAAATACAATATTACTATTAGTGAGCGAGATATAAATGGTAAAGAAAAGGCAGTAACTGTAAGTCCATTTTTCATTTGCACTGGTACCAAAATTTTCAGGAGAAGCAAGATTCTTTACAATTTAATTGATTATGGATCACGTTATAATTATAAAAATAATGTTTTAGCTGTCAAAAAATCTGCAACATCTGGACGCTCTAAGTAGATTGCCTATAGATATTGTGCCACTTAGGCAATCTTCGGGAATCAGAACTCATCGAATTAAGATTAAGACATCCAAAATCACATTGTTTGGGTAAGAACAAATCTAAAAATGGAATACATGTTTACAAATCTGAAATCTGACACAATTAATATTATCATAAAATTAAATCAAACGTATACCGGTATTTATTTACCACCCAAATCTACAACACACACCATTGGCATTACGCAAGGAGAACAAAATGCTAATTTTATAGTTCAGTCTACCTATATTCTAACTATATACAGTGTATATTATACACTGTTCTCCATGCAATAAACAAAAACTAAAAGTTCCACAAATATAAATAACTCAAAGAAAAATCAGAGTTAATGTTTAAATTATTTATAAAAATATATATCCAGGACTATGCTCTCTGCGCGCATTCGTATCACTTCTATCTGTTTCTCCGTCGGGGAAGCGAGCCATAGATGTACCAGTTAAACTTAAAGCTGGGTATAGGTCAAAATTACTATTACCCCACTATGGAGAAACTTTTTATTTATTAAACAATTCAATGTCAACGTAGTCATCAGCTGACTTCTGAATCAACAACCAACCTTGTGAAAAATAAGACGTTTTCTTGTTAAAACTTGTATACAATAAATCCTGTTAATCTGTTAAATCTAAAGATATTAAAAAGGTTAAAGTTAAAGTATAGTTGAACGTTCGTTTTAAGTAATTAGAAATTTAAAGTACACCGATCTTGTACACCATACAATTAAAAGATACCTTTTATTCAGCAACAATTAAGCGCGAAATATAACAATACAATACATTTTCGTGTTTCAAACATGGACGGTAGGTTGAACCTCGGCAGACACACTATTATGCACTTGATAAACAACTCTCCTTGAGTTTCTACTGGAGATCAATACATTATCATGTAACATTTGTAAAATGTTTGATGCTGAAGGTCTGAGTCTCGAATCACTCTGCCAGCAATTTCTGGCAAGGTCGAGTAAAAATTTAAAATCCTTATTTGCGTTTGAATGATCGTCTTCAAATTTTGGTCTGGTTTCAAACTTATTTGGATCGTTGAATAGGTCACGGAGAAACTTTTCTTTCGAAATCCTATTGTTTTGATCGGTTTGTTCTTTTTTGTAATTTTTATAGTCATCCGAAGATTTCTCAGTCCATGGCTCAACTTCACTGTAGAGGGCTAACCAGATGATAAGGCCGTAAGCGTATATATCTATTTTGCAGTACGTTTTATGCTTATTTACAACTGCCCGCTCACTGAAAACCCGTTTTTGAAGTTCAGACGCGCACTCGTTTTTGAGCTCGATCGTGCCCTTGTTATCCTTTTGATCCAAATACCACTCCGGAGGAACATAGCTTGGGGTGCTACCTCTGAGACGAAACACTTTTCCCTCCGTCTTTTCAGCAAAACCAAAGTCGCCGAGGATAAAAGACGTTTTCTTGTTGCGGCTTTTAACGAAAATGTTGTCAGGTTTGATGTCGCAGTGTACTATAGTTGGTTTGTTTATCTGAAATTGATAGTTATGTTATCTACACAAACAAAGTCCACAATCCACTGGGAATGAGGGGTATTCTGATCAATCGAGTTCGCTCTAATTGAATTAATTTGTCAGCTGGAAGATCAATTTCGATACGCTTTCCATCTCAACAGGCTAACCTCATGAAGATAGTTCAGAGCTTCGGCGAGATTTTTACAGAGGTGTTTGATTAAGTCAAGCGTGAGACGATTGGATCCAATAAACTTGGTAAGCGATAATTCATTACAGTGGTTCATCATGATGTACCTGGGAGAAAACAATGCTATTCATCAAGAAATCACTGCTTATTATCTTACTGAATATTAAACGGATAAAACAGAATTGTGGCTAGTACTTAAACATTCGATAGACAAAACGTCTAAGTACACTTCTAACTTGCATCGAGGAATCTCCATGTTTTGATCTTGATCACCTCCAAGATAACTCCTCTTGATCACATCTCTAAGGGGAGCACATTTCGTTGACTTCTTAATCAGAGTTTCCAAGAAGCTTATCAGATCATTGTTATCTTTTTCTTTGGTTGGTCCATACACGGATATTATGTTGCATTCTTTAGCCCTGGAAAATTCATGGCATTGCTGATTGCAGGCTTGCAGCAGTTGAAGTTACAGCAATCACGTATCAACAAACTGTCGTAAATATTTGATGATTTTGAAATTGCAATACTCTCAACTTTTCATGTTAAATCGTAACTAATTAAATAGGTGCTACGGTCATTGCACCAATATAACATAAAATTTTGGGACATTTAAAAGTGGTAAATCAGAATTCTTTTTTTTCTTCATTAAACTGATTTATCCACAAAATATCCATTTGAACAGCCGTGACCATCAGAATCACTCAAAATTTAACCGCGAGAAAACTCACTTCTCTTTATCAGAGATTGAGTTGATGATTCCCATTTCAACGCCCTGTTGTTCAGACTGTGACTCGGAGAATATTTTCAACACAACATGTTGACACTGAACCCCAAAACATCCGCCTAACAAGTTGAACCTGATCTTCAAGACTATCTGTAAAAAGTGAGATAAGCTTCTAGTTCTAACATGATTTTGTTTTGGACAATGGAAATTTACTTCTTTTCATTTTTCAGCCATGCATGCTAGTATAAGGTAGTCATTCATGATTCATCGCCACTTTCGTGCCAGAGCAAGGAAATATCATTAAAAATAACACAAATATATGCTGAGTTACCTCTTTGTCCTGCAAATTGTCAGGATTTCTATTTCTCCCGAGCGCGAAAGCAGCGGCTCCTAGTGGTGTTATCTTGTCCCAGTCTATATATTTCAGTATTGAACCGATCCTACCGCTTTTCTTCACTGAGGGAATTCAAATTGTCTACAATTGTAATAGTAATCGTATTAATTGAAATCACACATCAAAATACTGAAATTGTAATCGTAGTCTTAATCGTAAGTGTGATTGTACACTGTGATTGCAGTTGTAAAACTAAATTGAACTTACACTCTCGTCCGTAGTTAACTGCGTGTTTTTGACCGAAATACATTACAGCAGCTACAGAGAGAAGTCCACCAGTGCTCAGTACGATGGTGATGATGAGTGTAGTGTGGGAGGGCATTTCAGTGCACAGATTAGACAACCCGTCGTAGAAATCTTTTCTATCTGATAAGATAAGAGGTCATAGTATTTCCTGTACGACGAGAATCATTAATAATAATGATCAAATAAACCGCATCTGTTGATAAGGTTCTATTATAGGGGGTTCTATATAGGGGGGGGGGGGGGGGGGGGGGGGGGGGGGGGGGGGGGCCAACGTTTTGTAGATTAAGGTAGATAAAAGTAGAATATCATCCATTTTTTTTGCGAATTCTACTATACTTTATTCTACTTTATTCTACGTTGCCCCCCCCCCCCCTCTATCATTGTATATTTTCTCTTGTTGATATGGGTAATAACGGTAATGAAGACCAAACTTGACACAAACAAAAGATTCTAGTGTTTGTGCACCACGTGTGTGTCACGTGTTAAGGGGAACTAATTTCCCGCTATAAACCGCGACAAATCCATCTATTTCCTAACTAAACAAAATAGGATATAATAGCTATAAATCGTAACTTATTCAGTAATATCATTACCTTGACAGCTCTTGGTAGTATCCGTAGGAATGCCATCAAGTTGATAAGTGTGGTAACAGTTACAAGTCTTCAGAGCAGCCTGGTAGGACGAGAAAGTTTCCCAACATTCCTTTCTACCGCAGGTACCGTTAACTTTATACTGGTTGTAGCAGGAGCTGAGGGTAGCCAACACGGTATCCTTCAGGTAGTACATCGTTCCGTCACACTCTGTATAAGTAAATGTTTTAAAATATATTTTCATTCTTCTTGAAATTATAGAAGTAGTTTTACCTTTTATTGTTTTATCAAGACTTTTTTTTTACTTCGGAGTATTCCAACAGCCACATTGTTACACAAGTGCAACCAGCCAATAACAGGAAGCCGAAGGATTTATGTAAGATATCTCACATTATAAGAGTGAAAATTATGTGAGTTTGGAACGAATGAATTAATCAAGAAAACGGTAAAGATTATGGGACGACAAGACTCTGACAAAGCTAAATAAGATAAGTTTTTAACAGTTAATGGTTTAATTGGTGGTTTAATTGGTGGTTTAATTGGCGGCCTGCTGCTTTTTATTGTAGCAGCAATCTCAAATAAGCGACAAATTTAATGAAAGAAACGGAAGATATTTACCGTTTTGAAAACACTCTTTGGTGAATTTTTTCCTTTTTACACACGAATCCATTGTTCTCCGGTTATTATCACAATTGCAGTCTATAATGTTAACAACGCTGAAATTACAGAGTGTGCACGCCTGCGGAAATGTAGATATGGTCACGGTAATAAGGAAATGCTCTTTTGGTTACAAAGCTATAAAAAGTATAAATTTAAATAGTTTCTCTACGGTCCGGGGCTCAAACAATGGGTGTAATTTAGAAAATCGTCATATTTTTACATTTCATGTCCGATTAAAGTGACGTTTATGTGACGTTATAAATTACGGAAAATGATTTCATGATATTTGGTCGATACATAACTTGGATACATTATACATTTGACAACAAATTTACCGTCAATGCATGGCGTGACTGCAAGTAGCAATCTTGAGAACAATTGAGCGTGCTATCTTTATCTAGACATTTCTCCTTGAGTTCGCTGTTATCTCCACTTAAGTAGTGCTCCGGACTTGTCGTATCACAAACTTAACAAAAAACACAATGTTAGGTAACGTTGGTTATAGTGGGGAGATGATCCATATTTCGAATCAAAAACTGAAATTACCCTAGAAAAGACGCATTCAACATTTCAAGGTTAGTATTGTATGTTTCTTCATAAGTTGTGTGTAAAGGAGGCTGATTGCAAGCATAATGCATATTCTGTTCAGCACTCGACGGATTTCTGGAATAAATTTTTTGCGCCATGGATAAACTTCCCACCATTACCCAGTACAATACATATCAATCGAAGTTTCACAAGGAAATAAATTTAGCAGTAATTAATCAGGAAGTATACTTCAGTGCGTGTACGGCAGCGTTAACAGAAATACAAACATATAACGAAATGATGAAAACAGAAGAACAAACATGCAATGAAATGGTGATAGTTATTATATATACTACTTGTGATGAGTTAGTTATTGAACATATTCGAACATATTGAACATATTCGAGTAAGGAATCACAAGTTTGCCAGATATAATTCGTAGTCACTAGCGATCTTCCTCTTTTTATGTTCCTTAATTTTTGTGTTCCTAAACTGGAAAATATATTACATTTTCTGTGAGTGGGCATTAAATTTACATAAACTGTTGTCTGTTAAATTCTTCATTTAGTGTTTAGCATTATTGAACGCTTATGGAATATGGATGTAAAGATTCAAATTATTAAGATAATAACAACACAGGAATCAGGTGTAAAGTAATCGAAAGTTCCGGAACTAACGAAATGTGACGAAATAAAGGATAAGCGCTGCGCGTTTCGGTTTGTGAGTGTAACTCAAACTGTAACGCGTTACAAGAAAATAACTTTAATATGGGACGGGAAGTTCTCCGAATAATACAACCGGTGGAATTAAAAAGGGCGCTGAACGGAAAATGTGCTACACGTTGTCAGCAAAAAATGACAAAAATATAGATCCGTAGCTATATTGAGCAAGCAATATTCAGCGATACTACTTTACTAGTTTACTATGCAATAATTAGCAATACTGCAGCGACGCGTTAACCTGTTGAAAAGCAGAAAACGTACCATCAGTCAGACATTCTCTGCAGTACTGTATTGACTATTGTAGAAGGGTGGTAGGTCAGAACGGCGCACTTCTACAACGTGACTACTAAATAAATACCTGACAGTTGATCGAATAACACAAAATCTCACTATTAGTACAGAATTAGTAACGACAGAAAGTTCATAGTTAGATTTCAATGACTTTGGACGGATAAAATGAGAATTACGTACAAAATATCATTTAAAAAAAGTTAATTATCGCACGTACATCGACCAAGTGGCCCTTACTGCAAATAGTTCCATTACACTTTTCACATTTGGTGGCAGCGTCGTTACTCCACTTATGTTCGGGTTTATTGGGACAGTTTCTACATTCTTTTCTCGAATTCACATAGTGTTGTCCGGCCTGACAGTCTGTTCTGTTCTGCTCTGCAGGACAGCCCTCTTTAAATGAGGTACTAAGAAGTTTGATAAACCGCTATTTACTATGTAGTTAAAGGATGAGGGGACCTTAAAATTTACTTCCAAATATTCGCGTTTAAGTCCTGCGAGAGAAAAAAAACTTTTTTAAAGGTCCCCTCATCCTTTAAACAATATTAGATGGAACTCCGGTTTTAATTCTTGAGAAGTACTGGCAGCTGAGGTCTCTGAACTTCTTGCCATTAGAAGACTCGATGATATGGCAGAAGTTAGTATTTCAGTTGGAGCAACCAAGCCAGGAGGAAATCTTATCGCTTGGGCCGGCTAAAGACTTCACGAAGTGCAATAAACTAAGCCTCATCCATGGAATGCCGTAACAGAATCCAGTTATTGGACAAACGAGGGTCAGAAGAATCATTCGAAAGCTGACGAATATCTTACATTTTAACAACGGATGCTTTACAAAATTTACTTCTTTAATTTTTTAGAGGATGAGTTTGTGAGATTTAAGTTGGCAGTCTTGAGAAAATGCAATAATAACAGTTACATTAACTTTAATAATAATTATTATAAGAAGAAGTTTACTAAAGGATAATACACAGCTGGAAGGGATATAAAGGCAAATCATATTTGTGGATTGTGGAACTATTAAATTCCACGTCATGCTGAAAAAAAACATGGAAGTAATGTGTTTAGAAGAATTTAGAGAGAGAGAATCATGAGTTATCAATGAGAGAATTAAATTCTAAAGAAGACGTCACATGCAAACAAACCACTCTTCAGCACTGGATATTAAAAGGAAAATTCAGAAATTTAATATTAATTCAGGTCGACATTTCATCGTTATGGAGAGTACTCGATTTAGTTACGGATGACAATTTGTGATGTTGTTTTAGATTGGTCAAGATGTTGATCATCTGAAATTCATCTCGAGACTTTAGTCTCGTTATTTCATTTAATGAGTCTGCGGTTGGGGACAATTAAAATGTCGACCTTAATTATTGTTCCAGTTAATTACTCTTAAATAATGCCTCACTCTATGCATTAATCAGAAGGCTAATTCTATGCCATGCAAATGGACTCACTACAATTCACATGTTTCGTATCAGGGCATTGTTCACAACTATCAGAACCATCTTCGCTGTATGACTTCAACTGTGGGCACACTTCACAGCTCTTGCTGGATTTGTCAAATAACTGACCGGCTTGGCAGTCACTTTGGGTGTCGTCTGTGAATTTACAACTTGAATATCGAATATAATGTAGCTAATTAGGTGAAAACTCATTTTAGTGATTATTCCTAATTAATTACTTATTAACCCCGTATTAGCTCAAAATTAATTCTTTATTAACTCCTAACTGAAACTTATTACTTAAATGGATAGCAAAATTCTTAAGTTATAGGGAAAACAAGTAACGATTGAAAAGTTTTGGAGTAAGCTGTTAATCAATAAGATGCTAAGCCCTTGTAGTGCTCCTTGTAGTTACTTGTAGTGGTCGGAAATCATTTTTATTCTACTTTAAAGAAGTATGTAATCTGCTTAATTCTACAATTCTGGTTCAGACGAGAGAGCTTTCAACTAAAAGTATATATAATATATGATAAACAACTTTCAGCAGTATCAACACATACCTTGTGAGGTGATAAGGATTTGGAAAGAAAGCAGAAAGAATAAAATAAGGACTTGCTGTTTCATAGTAAGATCGCTGTGTTCACAACTTCTCTTTCAGTTTCATGGTGCTTCGGAGTGAAATGTTCAGATTTAACATAATATTATATATGATAATAATAATTCAACATAATATGCGTTAAACTTGTAGTAGGTATAGCTTGATTGAACTAAAGTAAAAAAAAAACATGATCTATTTACTATTAAATGACTGGCTTGTGCGAACACTATTCTTTGAAAGAAGAATAAAAATGCCACCGATCAGACTATATTATATCATTATGATTCACGATGTAACTTACATTACAAAAGTATGAAAGTACAATCAAATTTACGTCCGACATTATGCATTATGAAGTCAAATGTATATTGATTAAAAATAAATAAATTACGTCTGTGAAATGTATATATCATTATAAAAAGCAATATGTACCGGAAGGTACGAAATTGAAAAATTCAACCCGAGTAACGCGATGCATAAAGGGTCATATCAGGGTCAAAAAAAGAAACCGTAGGAAATAAGTCCACCTAAATAGTGATTTCTACATAAAACATGGAATTGAAATAGTAAAATAGAAAATCTACCGATACAACGTGCTTGTTAACAACTTTATTTGTGACTAGTTAGTTCTTCTTTCGTTAGTATCCGATTGACATGCTGTCCGAATCTGCGGAGAATTATATTAGATTAATAATTTCTCTCATTGTCTGCATACCTTGTTCATAACAAAACATTAGATTATTAATAACTTATAAAAGCGGACTAGTAATTAGTTTTCGTCATGAGAATCGTAAGATTATAGTTGGTGACTTATTGCAGATTATTATTTTCAATCATTTCAATCGGAAAACAACTCACTCTCTTCATCAGGTCCTGTTCGAGAACTATTGTCCTCTTCATCTGAGTCCAGACTCAACTCACTGAGATCTGCATCAACATCCTCCTCCTCATCCTCATCCTCTTCTTCAACTTGCTGAAACATCAGTACACGTGACACAGAGAATCAAGAGGTGTCCCACAGACTAAACGTCCGTTTGTGGATATCATAATTGCGCGATTTGAAAAACTAAATATCATTACTGGGGGAACGAAAATAGGCCACGAAGACGAGACTTGACAAATTTTAATATCATCTAAGTAGAGCTATTTCGTATTGTAAATAACATGGATGATTTACTAACCTGGGATACGATTTCTTCTCCTTTCAAATTTCTCTGCTTCAAATTACCGACCCAGAAAGCATCAGTACACCCATGCTGCGCAAAAATAGCTTTAACTTTCAGAACGAATGCCTCTAAAAACTTCTTCAGCAATGGCACTCTGGCAGTCAAGGCAATATCTTTAGAACTCTTGGAGTGACAAGTCACGTGATGAAGGAATCTGGTTGAAGTTTGGATTTTTTTCAAGATGCTCTGAACTTCAACGAAACTGTCTGAGATCATAGGGCTAAGAAGTGGTAGTCCTATGGTCAAGAAACCATCAAGAAACTTTTGGCCAAAAAGAAGGGCTGACCTTAACAAAGGACGGGAGTTGACAACTTTTATGTAGTTTATCAAGTTGGCAAAGTTCCCAACACAATTGGTTAGAATGTCAAAACCGTTCTCTTTATCAGAGGGAATAGATTTCTGGTGCTCCACAAGTTTTGTCAAAACGATCTTATAAATTGTGGGCAGGGTTGCTCGACTGAAAGTGGGGAATATCTTCTCTACGTCCTCGTCTTTCTTGACAACGACATCAAGTTGCTCTACCAGGAAGTCTAGGAGGTCCCCTTTACTCTCAGAGGAATTTGATAGGAATGTGCTGACTAGGTACCCGACCCCCTCGTTAAACCTCACCTTATTCTCTTTCTCATCTGCTGTTATATCCCAATCTTTCTGGAGACAACCTTTACAGATATCAGCCAGACGCTGGTTCGTTGAGTCGCTGATGACAGAGCAACATTTGAGGAGATTCAGAGTTGAGCTGAAACTTTGACAAGACTCTTCGAAGTTTAGCAGATATTGAAGCGCATGTTTTCTGCGAACTGATAACGGTCCCTGGGTGTTGTTCTGAGAACGAGAGCTAAGAATACTGAAACATTCCGTGGATATTTGGCTGTTGTTCGCGAAACCAGACCAGCTGAAAACAAGCTCTAAAATACTGAAGACTAGTTCGAAAATCTTGACACTAAATGGGCTGTCCTCCATCATAGCTATTTCTTCTTGAGTTGAGTTCATGTTAGATTGATCTGGATCGTTCGCTTGAGAGTCATCTGTTGCATCTTTACATTTAGACACGTTATCCTCCATGGTTTGACACAGACCTGGAAGAATGGCTAGAATCTGTTGTGTGAACTTGGTTTCCGACAGTGAAGCTACCCTGGAGAAACCTAACGAGTTGTCAGGTCTGCTGAACACGCTGGCTGCCTTCAGTTTGAATTTGCACTTTGACAGAAGATCCTCTAACATCATGCACGTCTCCGGTAAACCCACAGTCAAGAGCTGCACATCTGATTGGTCACTACTTTCATTTGAAGCTATCGTAGACTCTGTGCATTGGTTTAGAATCGTCATTGTTCGAATGTCAAGTTCCCTGATGAAACCCTTAAACTTCCCAACCGAGGACCAAGAGGAGACATGTTTTTTAGGTTTTGATAGAGCAGCTGCTCCGACGTCAGCTTCATTGTCTGTCTTGTTCAGCTGTGTTGATGTTTTCATGGTACCACTCCTCGCAGGATCGAATGAAAGGATGTCCTTCGAAATGTTAGCTTCACTTTCGTCTAAAACACTCTTCGAGCTCTGTCCCTTCTTGCTCTTATTCGTGCCCAAGTCCTCTACTAGGTCAAACACCATTGGTATCATGCCATCTACAACAGAAACCTGTCTCAACATTCCTAGAAGCTCCTGCAGCAACTTCACTCGTTTGAGAAGTTTGTTCCTCATTGAGCGTCTCCGTTCAACATGGAACACATTAATCTGCTCAATAACCAGGTTTATCAGTGCCAGCAGTCCAACTGTAGACTTATCACAGGAAATGATATCATCCAGAGGTGGAGCGCGGATATAGCATCCTAAGATTGAGTCTATATCTTCCATGCTGTTGTTTTCCAGGACTGCCAAGGACGCTCCAACAAGTCTGAGAAGCGGACACAGGGTCATGAGTTCTGATGGGTCGTCTGACTGAACACAGTGCCAGAGGTTGATGCTGATGTGACCAGTTTCATCATTTTCTAACGTGTCTGCTCCCTCTAGACACAGTATATCTCGCTCCTGAAGTCATGATATTCATTATAACATGTCGAAGAAACAAAATACAATACAGAGCGCTAATAAGTACTAAGTAGGTATTGGAACCATTATATCCGGATGAAACTTTGAAAGAATGAAAATTTTGAAAATGTTTTTGAAAAATTGAACGCACTTCACGCACTTTTATCGACAAATTAACGCACTAACCCACTATAAATAAAACCGTTTATAGTAATATAATGAAAACAGGGGTTTCATACCTGACTATCAGTATCAAGCGGTTCCCTCGAGATAAAGACCGTCTGGAACCTGTCCACAGATTTATCATACAGCAGCTGCACAATCTCCGTACTCACAGTCCCACTAGCGATACACCCAGCCAACTCATCGTAAAACAGTGCCACCAGCTCAGGGGCTTGTGTTAGCGACCCCTGAACCTTGTCAAGGAAAGACTTTGCTTTTGTTGCTGACTCTGTGGAGAGCGCTTGAACTAGAGCACATGAGCCGATAATGCCAAGTTTACGGAGTTTGTTGCTTGAATGGGACAGGTACTTGCGGGTTATAATGTGGATATCATCTACTGTTCTACAGGACCCGCTCGAGGATATCCGCACTAGTAGGTACAGAACCTGAAACCAAGTAACGGAGTGAGAAAATTATGGAATTTTTTTGAAAACCTTTTCAGAGTCCTCATGTTTGATGGATGAGGCACGTTGCCTCAAATCATTATTTAGTAATTTCTCACAAAACATACCTCTCTTGCTTGGGAAATAGACAAAGTATTGAGATAATCCAGGAGCCCATTTAACAGGGAACTGAACCTATCAACACTCTTATCAGTAGAGTCCTTGATGAGTCCCAAAGTACGGATACCAGCATCTACTTCCTTGCTTTGCCCACTACCTATGTGGGAAATCAGTGAACCGATCACTTCCTGTTGGGCGTGCATGTCTCCACTGAAAACAAAGGGATGGTTAAAAGAGTAAAGGCAAGAAATCGTCGCAAAAAACATTAACACTAACAGCGTTGTTACTACAGCAACATTACTACCAACAACAGATCATGTTGAACATATTTACGGAATTTTCTATGGCGATGAACCATGATAATGTTAACCAAACTCATAATGATAAAATTACTCATACTGCATTTAAACTGACGTCAATAATACAACAGATAACAAAAACTAGGTTTTTATTATCTTTTGAACCGGATAATATTATGTTTCTCGAAATTTCGGTGGAGAGATAACATCGTGCTGCAAGCAAGTTCCAAATTGTAAGATGATACTAAGATAAAATCTGGACATTACCGTAGTGACACTGTAACACAACTTTCACCATACAGAACAGTCATTGAGTATTGAGCTTGCTTCCGACAGAACTGTCGTATTACCTTACTAACTTATAATGGCACATGTGGCATGGCTATTCCTTTTGTCTGACATCAAATAACGACGTAATTTGTGCCGTCTCAGATATTTATTCCAATTTTCATTTTAATTATAACAACAGGGAGCATTAAGATAGAGCTAACACCTCACGGACATCACGGACATCACGGACATCACGGACATCACGGATACAGCTATAAACAGTAAACATCTCTCCAACTAATCTGTACAGCAAAACTCCGAAGCTACGTCATTAGAAGTGAGATCAATGAATTAATTCTTTACAGTGTGTAGCTGTAATTCACTCTCAGAGGTAGGACAATTGATTAGTTATTAGTGCGGCAGCGGAGTAACAAAATTACTTCACATGAGATAATGAGCAAGTGCACAGTGCACAGTACACAGTACACAGTACACAGTACACAGTACACAGTACACAGTACACAGTACACAGTACACAGTGCACAACTTACTGGGTAAAAACAGAGAGATAGAGAAGAGAAGGTAGAGGGTGTTCAGGGTAAGAGAGGAGTAAACTGTGTGATATCCGGAGCTGCTCAGTGTTGAAAAGTGCAGCTGTCTTTCCGTGATTCTTATACAGCTCCTGAAGAGAACAGTGTTATATTTCCGTGATTCTTATACAGCTCCTGAAGAGAACAGTGTTATATTTCTGGTAATCGGGAGATGCTCAATCAATCGAATCCCACGTGATATTTTACCATGTTCAATACCAGTTAATATAATGTTTATGTTAGAAATATACCGTCTACAGTTGCGTTTGGACGTTTTCAGTGAAGAATTTATTAGATGTTAAACTTATCAGGTCTGGAAGACCATTCAACAGAAATTGAGTAAGTTTTTTAAGGTACTAACTTTTGCGCAATTTTGCATCTTAACTTGTGACGACATTCCTTACAATTCCTATCTAGAACATGTCTACTGTGAAAGTACAATGGAGTGGATATGAGAGTGGGACAATAGTTGGTTTTGTAATAATTGCTTTTATAAAGCAAGAGAGCGTGAAATAGATCCAGCAGGAGCGGTAAGACATGTCTACTGAGCTGACAAGAGTGCAGAGTGCTTGTCAGTCTATCAATACAATGGACTGTACTGCAGTAGAGCAGTAGTTAGAAACATCTGTTTACTTTGGTTGTTTGGTTGCTTAGTTGTAAACTATCCTGAAGAGCGGTGACAGTCCGTGCGAGTGGTTGTTATTATGATGCGCTGAGATCAAGTTGATGATACGTGATTGCGCGTGTTGTGCTGATAAGGCTTTGATTGGGCGATGGCCAGGAGTATTATCAGTAAACTAGTAGCAGGTCTAGCAGTGAAAAGTTTCTGATTTCAAAAGTGGCCGGTAGTTATTAATTTTGAAGTGCTTTCGTAACTAAGATTTTTGTTGAATGTGGCTCGTTTTTAATTATTTTGAGGTATGCCTCGTGTTGTTTAGATAGTTTACTAATACTAAGTTATGTTGCGAGGTGTGTGATCTTGTGACCGTTGAGATTTCCTTAAACCTGGAATATTATACAGTAAAAAGGTTCGCCAGCTTTCCTCGTTATTGCCTCTTGATTGGTGTTCCAATAGCACACGTTTTGCATTAGACTTGTAAATGTTTATTGAAAATAAGCTGGGAAGACACGTTATATTTAAATTTGTTTCTGTGATGGTAAGCAGTGAACCTGATCCAACCTAATATTGCCTGTTAGTGCAAATAAATGGGTACAAGGTAAGGGCCGACGATAAATGCCATTTGAGAAGCTTTGAAAATTTGATAAATTGGCTGTTAGCTTCCCCAAATTAAGACCATTTCGACGAAGCCTCATCACCCAGTGGTCACGTAGCCGGCTCAAAGTGCCCAACTGAACTGTCTGACACAGGACTCCACATCTTGAAATGGTTTTCGCATTCATATTTCAGTTTCACATCCCCTATGTATTACCTCCTCCACACTGATCATAGTGTCTATCAGCAGTGAATGAAATAGACAAGTGTGCAATTGTATAAATCAGAGTAATCACCAATTATTGGGGGGGGGGGGGGGGGGGGGGGGCAACCTTATTAAAGTATATTAAAATGTAGGATTTTTTCCAATTTTGACCCGGGGATATACTTTAATGTACTTTAATATACTTTAATATACTTTAATATACCTACATTTTCTCCATTCAAATTTTGAACCATATTAAAGTATATTAAAATGTAGGTTTGTTTCCCAATTTTGACCCGGGATATACTTTAATATACTTTAATATACTTTAATATACCTACATTATAAAAAATTATGTGAAAAATATTGTTTTATTTAATGTATGGATTAGATTTACCTTTCATGTAAAGTTGATCTTGTTCAAAGATATTGATACTTGACCAATTTATGAGCCAAAATATATGAAGTATGAGTTCAGGGGACTAGCAACTGGCTTATCTTCTAATCTACTAATTGTAGATATATTAAAGTATATTAAAATGTAGGATTTTTTCCGATTTTGACCCGGGGATATAATACTTTAATATACTTTAATATGGTTGCCCCCCCCCCCCCCCCCCATTATTTTTGGTAAAAAGTTTTGGTTCAAACACGTTGTAGCCTGTAGGCAGGGAGACAAGAAATTAGAAAAGAGGCATAAATATTGCAAGGACTGATTTTGCTTGAAAGCTAAAAGTGTATCAACAAACCTCATAATGTTATGTTATACTGTGTGCTCATAAAACAACATTTTCTATTTAAGCGTTAATGTCGGCAGCTCTTTCATTCTCTTTCATGTTCAAGTTCTCAATATGCAAGAATAATAACTGAATCTTAATTGTATTGTTTCTCTTTTGATTGAGAAGAATTCAGCTTAAATATAATCACAAATTTCCGACAACATCGGAATTACAAATATTAATTAGATAATGTTATGGCTCTGACAGAATATTCTGGTGGGAGGTAAAGCATACCCATACCTCTATATATATTGTAACGTCTTCAATAAATGTAATAGATTTGTAGTGTTATAATTAGTTTAAAACATATATCTAATATCCACGAACTCTCAGTTCAAGTGTAGTAAATAAAGTGTTATGAAGACTGTTAGATAAAAATAGCTGCATCTAGAGTCTAGTCCATTTTAGAGTCTAGTCTCATTTTAGTTGCCATCTAATCTACTACTGTCCAGCTTGCTTGTGATAGGGCACGTCCTGAGTTTGAGACCGGGATCATCTGACCTCATTAAGTCATCAATATTATATATAATAATTAAGACAATAATTGAATCACATTCATGACTGTTACCCAGTCATGAGTTCTAGGACCCAATTATTATACCTAATTAGGGCTCAGATCACTGTTAGTACATTAACTAATTGCGTTACGAATTAGCAGTTCATGTCATATAAATAGCTCAGGAACAGTGATAAATTATCCCCGTTTCAATTACGTCTAGTTTTACTTCCTCTATTGTTTTTCCCAACATGAGTTCTGTAGAGTCCACTGAATACCACCATTCTCTCACCGACCCTGCCCCTTCTCCTCAAAGTGTTTCGAAGAGGCGTGCAAGTAGACTGAAGCGTACAAGTAAACTGAACCGTGAAAGAAGACTGTTGCAGTCACACAGTTTGAAGTCCACTGAAACAACCCCAGCAGTGTCTCCAAAAGATAAGGAGTCTCCTGCTAACGACACAAAATCTTCTGATGACTTCCCTTCCACCTCCTCTTCTGCTGGTTCACCGGTGTTTCCTAACCGTGGCCGACCCTTTACCCCAAACGACGCACGTGCCATTAAAATGAAGGTACTTAAGTTTAGAAAGATTGGGGTTGATATTGACTTTAAAATTGTAATTAATGGTCGGGTAACTTCAATTTTCAAGTGAAATCCAATGAAAACAAGAATTGATGCTAGAGGTTATCTTATATCAACTTGACAGGGGTATTGTTAGTTCATAACCGAACACATTTTTATATTATTATACTGTATTCGCCTCTGTGATAGCTACATATTGTTTTTACCAAAGAGAATGCTCGTTTTAATATCTACTTAACTCAAATACTCAATCCTAATATCCGCGAACTCACAGTAAAGTAGATAAACTACATTATATTACGAAGACTGTTAGATAGAAATAGCTGCCGCTAAAATCTAGTCATATTTTGTGTTGCTATCCAGCTTGCTTGTTAAATTTGAGACGGGGATCATCTAACTGCATTAAGTTATTAAAATATAATAAATAAGACTTCTTCTTTTGATTGGTCGGCGTCGACTGTAAGCCTTCCTTGCGGTGGCTTTCACAACGCGTCCCCATTCTCCAACTCCTGCTGCTAGAGAGAGAGACTCCCAAGTTATATACCATAATTATATTATACATAGATATCGACAACAGACTCCGAGAGTCTTGAAGTTCTGTTACCACCGCCCCTGGTGCAACCCCTTACGGGTTAACGATGAGGAGACAGGGACTTCCAGGGACAGTCATGGCCTGCTACATGCAACTCGTAGGAGTATGCAATGTTCCTGTAACGTCATTGTAGACCACTCCTCTATCGTTGTTTTGAGTGTCCGATCCAAAACCAAATCCTAGGGTACACGAGACGTGGAAGCCTGTGAGCGTGTTAGAGTCTGTTAAGTGTTAGAGTCCTAGGGCTACACGAGACGTCGTAGCCTGTGAGCGTGTTAAATCCTAGGGTTACACGAGACATGGTAGCCTGTGAGCGTGTAGACCGCTCCTCTATCGTTGTTTTGAGTGTCCGATCCAAAACCAAATCCTAAGTACACGAGGCGTGGTAGCCTTTGACGTGTAAAATCCTGGGGTTACACGAGACATGGTAGCCTGAGCGTGTAGTCCGCTCCTCTATCGTTGTTTTGAGTGTCCGATCCAAAACCAAATCCTAGGGTACACGAGATGTGGAAGCCTGTGAGCGTGTTAGAGTCTGTTAAGTGTTAGAGTCCTAGGGTTACACGAGACGTGGTAGCCTGTGAGCGTGTTAAATCCTAAGGTTACACGAGACTTGGTAGCCTGTGAGCGTGTTAAATCCTGGGGTTACACGAGACGTGGTAGTCTGTGAGCGTGTAGACCGCTCCTCTATCGTTGTTTTCAGTGTCTGATCCAAAACCAAATCCTGGGGTTACACGTCATGTGGGGGCCTGTGAGCGTGTTAGTTTCCTGCGGAAGGTGTTATTTGCCTGTGGGAAAAGCGGTTATGCTGCGGTTCTAAGGTTAGTAGAGGCTATTAGAGCCTTTCCTTGTTGTAGAGATGGCTAGTCCCTTCCTTTGCATAGGTTAGAAACACCCATGCACCTCCCGTTCGAGCCACCCACCCCACACCGCGTGGAGGTTAGGCGAGGTTTTTCGTGGGGCTAATAAATAAGACAATAATTGGATCAAATTTGACTGTCACCCTGTTCTGATTTCTAAACCTCATTAGGGCTTGTCATTGTCAGTATCTTTTAGTTTTAAGATACTGACAGTTAAAACTGAAAGCGTTACTAATTAGTAATTATTGGTAATTTATGTCATAAAAAATAGATCAAGGTCAGTGATGAATTATCCCCCGTTCAATTGCTTAAGTTCAATTTCTATATAACTATAAGTTTTTCATTAGCCGTATTGCTCACCTTCCAGCATCAGTTTATATAACTTATACTGCGGATATTCCTGTTTCACATGATTATATCCACCGTTTTATTGCACCAGAGCATACATTTTTGTTCTTCATAAATTGGATACCGGCAAAATTGCCCGCCAATTAGTGTCACAACATGACACTCCGAAACTTTGAACATAGCACGAGGAAATATGTTCCTCGTGTTTTTCCGACTTTAAAGCTGACTTAAGAAACCAGGGAATTAAATTTACCTTCCTAACATTAAATCGTTGATTTTATATCATTTTCATTTTTTTCCCAAAACATTCCAGTACATTGTGCAGAAAGTTTTAGATTACAAATTTTGGAAGCATGTAGGGATTTAGACCTGATATCGACCGTATATACTAAAAATACTCTAGCACAATTGTAACTGCTGTTTTACAGAACTCTAAATGCTTAATTAACACACTTGCAGGTACCACCCGTATTCACACTCAAAGATGAGTTTAGTCAGTTTCCGATACGAGATTGGGACGGGTTCTACAAACAAACAAACAAACAAACAGCAGTGAAACTTTGAAAAATACTGATTGTCTAAAAGTGTTACTACTGTATGTAAGAAGCCAGTCAGAGCTAGTCTCATGGCTGGAGTTAACTGTCGGGATATTACTTGGAAAAAGGCCTTGATTGATTTTGGCACTGTTTCAGGGAAGTATTTATCCTGTGCATTAATAAAAGTGCGTTCTTCACGATAATTTCATGAACAGTGAGATTAAATATAGTATTATATATAGTAGTGGTGATCGTATTAAAACTATTCGTGTAGTGGTTTGAGACGCTGCCATGTCGCAACAGAGGATAAATGTACACTGTACCGAGTGGATTTAGAGCGGTTTCCCAACCCTCTTCCATCCTTCAATGGAGTTTCATTTTCTCAACATACATTGAATCGCAAGATAGCTTGTGTTTGCTTGCAATTGATTGAGTGATTTTGGTACCAGTTATCCGTATCGCGTACAAACTACAAAGGATATAGCCATGGGTTATGCAGACTTTTCACTGTTCAGGGAAATAATTATACGTTATGAATACCAGCAACATCAAAATTATGTTATTTTAACTATTTATGTATTATAAACTGATATTGCTATCTATTTTGCAGCTTTCACAATTACAGATGCTTCGACAATTAATGTCCGATGAGATTGCGTATCTGCACCTTTTCATCCCTGTATGGTTGTACATGTTTAGCACTTACACTCTAGGAACAACAGGTGTCACCTTCTTCACTGGCAAAATGGACGACTTTCATCTTGCTGGTATAACCCTTGGGATGAACGCCCAGCTGAGAATGGTTTTCTGCTTTATGATAGGATTCACCTCCGTCTTCGATATTTATGGGCCGCAGTTGATTGGGCAAACACAACAGAAAGAATTACTATCTCGACTTATGGTTAAGATATTGATACTGGGGTTCGGTGCGTTCCTTTTGTGGATACCTCCTATTGTTGGATCTGTTTTCTTGATGCGGAGGTTCCCTATGATTGCACTGGATGAGAAAGAAGACTCCCAAAAGATTCGGCGGATTGCGGAGGATTTCATGTTCATGTACTTGGGAATATTCTTTCTTGACTTTGTGGTTGAGATTTTCTTGAAGTATTTTGCCAATCTTCGGTTTATGTTGGCCGTCTATTGTGTACCAGTTTTACAAGCTATAATTCAGGTTACCCTGAGTTATATTTTCGTCTGCGAGCTAGAAATGAAGGGAGAGGGTATCGTATTGGCGGCTCTCTTCAGCAGATTAGTAGCTATAATTATCAGCGTCTTATTATGTTCCGGAGGAGAGTTGAGTGGAACTTTGAGAAGATCGAAACCAAAGACATCTTTGAGAACCGGAAAACAATGCTCGGAATCGGAAGTGCTGCAGGGTTCCAGATGATGCTAAGTTATTTGAGTCACACAGTTGCAACTTACCTAAGTCAGGTAGGTGGCAGAGTAACTATGGAGGTCTATGGCATCACAATGAAATGGAGTGGAATTTCATTTCCTGCAGCCGTGGCCACATCCTACACTTCAGCTATCACTGTTGGAAACGCTCTTGGTGAAAAGAGCATTCCCAAAATTCAGTATAATATCTTACTAAGTCTTTTGAATGCCATATTTACACAAGTTATATTTTTGCCAGTTCTGTTCCTCAGTTACGACTGGTTTACGCGTATCTTCACTTCTGATTCTGATGTGATGGACTACGCTAGTAATACCGTGTTCATGGTGGCATTATTGATCATTGTTGAAAGTTTTCAAGAATTGCTTGGCAGAGGAACTTTGATTGTGTTTGGTAAAGTTAAATTTATCTCAATCGTCGTAACCTTCAGCACATTTCTAGTGGGTTTCCCCATATTGTTCTACACAATGTTTGCCACTGAACTTTACGTGTATGGTCTGTTCCTGGGTTTGATTGCAGAGAAACTTGTTCAGATTGTTGCATTCTTCATCGCACTTACGAATCTGAACCTTAGGCAGGAGATAGAGCTGTGTTCAGAGAGATTAGAAGAAGAAACGAATCAACGTACAGAATCAGATCCATTCGCTGAATCAACGTAGAGAATCAGATCCATTTACTGAATCTTATGAGAAATAATGAACACTATCAGTATCATAAACTATTCCAAAAACATGTAGGTTTAACATTTTAGGTATTTACAATTTACATGTGGTATCCTCGGTTATGATTAATACAAAATTGTATTCATTGATCAAACTTTTATAGAAGAAGTAAACCAAAAGATATTCGAAACCATGATGCAATCTAACTGAATGTACAAATAGATATCGTAATACTACTGCTGTTTCCTGAAGACTCATGCCGTTAAAATAATCAAAATTAATTTCTTTCAAATTCAAAAAACTTTTTTTTGATTTTTGATTTTTGATTTACGTTTTTCACAGCCCTACATATAAGGATGTTCGGCAGAATGGGTTCGTTGATGTTCCTTCAGTGTTTCTTGCAGCAGTACAATGCCCCCCCCCCCAATACAATCACAAATATCACATTTGGACGGTCTTTATCTAGAATGAGTGCGTTTGTGGTGTCTCAAAATTATTATAATTATTACGTAAGAATTATTATAAAAGCTATGTTTATATACAAACAAGGAGAGTAACTAACATGTTGAGGCACTTTCCTTGTACCTATCGAGAATGACCCGGACCGAAAAATTTTTAAATCGAAATTATTTTCAAAGTCTGGAAACTACTTTTGTTCATGTTTCATGCTACCCTGAGCATTATGAGCCGAAAATACTTTTTCGGTCCGTACCTTCATTCGGAAGGCTGTGAATGTGATTAGTTCCATATAATTATAACTTTATAAAGAACGTGATAGTTGGCAGTCGGATTTAAAGGAGGATGCGCAAATTTGGTCCTCAGAGAACTTGAATAATCGCAATTTGTCGCGAGGATCTGAGAAAATTGCGATTTGTCTCGGCAAACGTCAAAAATCGCGATTTGTCGCGGAGAATGGGGAAATCGCGATTCTGCACGTGCCGCGATTTTTTTTGACCTTGCTATGTTTTGTAACATACCTGCACGCAGAATCACACAAATAATTCTCATTTTGTTTCGATTTAATTTAACAATGACCAACCTGAATGAGGGTAGAGTTGAGAGTTCCCTCCTTGAGATGAAGTCTGATGGAACTGAGAACTTGTTTGGGTTTGTGATTAACTCTGTACAGTATCAGATAGACTAGCAAGTCAAACACCGTCAGACTGGTGGACGAGTGGAGTTGGGTTAGCCAGCATTTTTGGGTCTTGTTGTGGAACCTTAGTATTTGCTCCAGACATTCCATTGAGAGCCCCTCCGCTTCCATCCCTTCGCTGGGGGGATAAAGTATATATTATACATTTTAATCTATATAATGTTATATAGCATTGGAATTCAGCGAGCTCCGTTTTGTATCATGATACTCTTCCTCTCCTTACGTACTCTATACAACTGTACAATTAAACTGTTTTTAAAATATTTTAAAACGATACATAATTATACATAATTGAATGCTTCTAAATAAACCTAGATATAAAAGGAGAAAACCAAAGTAGCTCGAAACACAAATTATGTATTGAAAGAGGGGTATAGGTAACCATATTACATTGGGATTGATAAACCAATCCCAGTGTAATATGGTTATAGCGAGGTTAACAATCAAATTTTTACTACTTTCAATCAATTAGAGTGTACAGGAAATTGGGTTAACCTCATTTTTTACAATACAAGCACATTAAGTACTGAAATTGGCTACAATCATTTAAGGGAAGGCAAGGTCTAATCAAACAAGTGTACATTAAGGGGAGATACACCAAAAACGTTTTTGCTCCGAACATCGATTTTATTTTATATTATGGTTAAATAGACAAAAAGAATAAGATTGCACACCTTAAAAATTTTCTAAAAATATTCCCTCATTGATAAAAAAATATATTTTTCTTTTTCGAAAATTTTTAAAATTTTGAGAAGTCTGTCACTGTAATACCGATAGTTCGGCCATTTTAAAAGTTTTTTGACTGATTTTTTGACTGAACATTACTTACAATCCGTACAAGAAGCCAAAGGATTATATAATTGAACGATAAATGACGAAGTTACAGACCAAACAAGGTCGAAAAAATAAAAATTGAAATTTTTCCCATCGTAAAAAAGGGCAAAAAAGGCAGATTTAAGGCTTAAAATACCTATAACTCAAAAAGTTCCAGTTTTTTTGAAATAATTTGTACAGAATCGTAATCAGCTTGGTAAGACGAATCTTTTAGTACCAAATAGGTGATTTTAGAAGACAAATTGTCTTAAATAATTTTCTAGCTCGAACACAGGGTCCCTTGTATAAATTTTGTACAAATTGTACACATTTTTTTACAAATTTTGTGTCTTTAAATATTATAAATGTCGTACTAAAAGATTCGTCTTACCAAGCTAATTACGATCCTGTGAAAATTATTTCAATAAAACTGATACTTTTTGAGTTATAGGCATTTTAAGCCTTAAATCTGCCTTTTTTTACGATGAATTTTACTAAGTCGTTTGAGGCCACATTGCATAGCTTAAAACTCAAATCTGAGAGAAATCCTACTCCAAAAAGTTTGATATGATCATCAGCTACACTCACAAGAATTTTTGAAGCGATATCTGCTGACCCGGGTGATTGGTGAAATGTACAACTTTAGAAGTGGGAAAAATTTCAATTTTCATTTTTTCGACCTTGTTTGGTCTGTAACTTCGTCATTTATCGTTCAATTATATAATCCTTTCAATGGCTTCTTGTACGGATTGTAAGTAATGTTCAGTCAAAAAATCAGTCAAAAAACTTTTAAAATGGCCGAACTATCGGTATTACAGTGACAGACTTCTCAAAATTTTAAAAATTTTCGAAAAAGAAAAATATATTTTTTTATCAATGAGGGAATATTTTTAGAAAATTTTTAAGGTGTGCAATCTTATTCTTTTTGTCTATTTAACCATAATATAAAATAAAATCGATGTTCGGAGCAAAAACGTTTTTGGTGTATCTCCCCTTAAGTCCTAACTAACGAATTGCAACACATTCTAGTAATAATTCCAAATTTTCAAAAATACTAAATTGCATCTATCTCGAAACACAATTTGGTGATTTAAATTGTTAACCTCATAATTCGAGAATCGAGTCAAATTTTAAAATTTCAAAAAAGTTAGAGCTGTTTAAAGTTGTAGATTAACATGTAATACAGGTAAACCTCAAAATTTGGCGAGCGATATCTCAGGAATGCAGGGTCAGGTTTTGATCGGGTTTTTTCCCCTTCTTGTTCGTCTCCAACAGCTAAATTACCAAATATGTGAAAACTAGAAAAGTGCCACACGGGAAAAGTGCCACACGGGAAAACAGGGCATTTTGTTGTGCCTCAGAATTTACAAGACCCTTAGTTTCACCTCCTACAAGCACACAGCGCGGTTCTTTTGCGATAGTCAAAACGCGACAACTAGCGCTGGATGGCGACAACTAGCGCTATCCAGCGCTAGTTGTCGCCATCCAGCGCTAGTTGTCGCTATCCAGCGCTGGATAACGCTGGCCAGCGCAAAATATATATGTTCGATAATTGTCGCTATCCAGCGCTAGTTGTCGCCATCCAGCGCTAGTTGTCGCCATCCAGCGCTAGTTGTCGCTATCCAGCGCTAGTTGTCGCTGGCTATGCGACACTGTCGCACGCGATAGTTTGCGATGGCCAGCGCAACTGGCCATCGCAGAAAACAGTTCGATAACTAGCGCTGGATAGCGACAACTAGCGCTGGATAGCGACAACTAGCGCTGGCCATCGATATCCAGCGCAAAATTCTTGCGCTATTACTCGTCAGCTAGCGCTGGCCAGCGCTGGCTGACGAATAATATCGCAACTATAATGCGCTGGCCAGCGCTGGCTGACGAGTAATACTAATATCGAGCGTGCTAAATCACTCTACAGTCGATCTTCGAGATTGTTCTAAAAGGGCCCCCGATGGTTGTAACCAACTTCAATCGATGCAATGTATTTTCGGACGCTAATTCCGAATCAACCCCCATGACATAGGGTTAAAAAGCTCTCCTGACGAGATATTGGCGAAAAACTGTATCGATCACGTGATATGACCGTATAAGGAAGTTAGTCTAATTTCTCGTTAGGGTTATGGTTTCAGCATATGTTTTTGTTAAGGATTGGGTTAGGGTTAGGGTTGGGATCAGATTTATAGAGGGTTAGGGTTTCAAAAAGTCGTTCAGAACCAGCTAGAGTCAGAGAATGGGTTAAAAAGTCACGTGACAGTCGAGTGTAAAGTGATTAATCATCATCCGAGTAACATCGCAAGTATATGATTTTGATACATTGCGCTGGCTAGCGCTGGTTAGCGCTGGTTAGCGCTGGCTAGCACTAGCTGACGAGTAATAGCACAAAAATTTTGCGCTGGATATCGATGGCCATCGCTGGCCAGCGCTAGTTGTCGCTATCCAGCGCTAGTTATCGAACTGTTTTCTGCGATGGCCAGTTGCGCTGGCCATCGCAAACTATCGCGTGCGACAGTGTCGCATAGCCAGCGACAACTAGCGCTGGATAGCGACAACTAGCGCTGGATGGCGACAACTAGCGCTGGATGGCGACAACTAGCGCTGGATAGCGACAATTATCGAACATATATATTTTGCGCTGGCCAGCGTTATCCAGCGCTGGATAGCGACAACTAGCGCTGGATGGCGACAACTAGCGCTGGATAGCGCTAGTTGTCGCCATCCAGCGCTAGTTGTCGCGTTTTGACTATCGCAAAAGAACCCACAGCGCATTATACAATATACATACAGTAATCAGTATACACTCTACGTTACACACATAACACTACCGTAGAAAGTCTTTGTGCACAGATCTCGATAACAAGTAACTAGCAGGACTATTATTTATTGTGTGTTACAATTGTCTTCATGACGACGATGATGTGCAGTTATTGAAATAATACAATAACTATCATGTACAACTCTGTAACAAGATTCATTAATGGAATAATGAAAGTTATCTATTTTTAGAATTTTATAACCAGAATTTTAGAAATTAAGTTGCCTACCAAGTACATAAATCGATTAAAAAAGATAACGTATAAAATGTACGGTAAGGTGGTACATACCCTGACTGGCAGAGCGACTGAAAGTCAATATGTTCCCTAATGCTGGAGACTGCTTTATCAGGAGGAGCTGTGGAGAGCAGGAAACGCAGCGCTGATGGGACTGAATCAGCGCTCAGAGCTGACAACAACTCTTCTACTGACTCGTATACTTTATCTGGGCAAGGAGTAGGGGTAAAGGTGGGGCACCACCGCAAGTTGTGCACTGATTGTAAGTAATTACGAGACTAACAGAAATGTTAATACCTATCCGGATAGCAGAGGAGTAAGATGAGGTTAAATAACCTTGAGGGGGTAACCGGTAAAAACGTGAAATTGGAAGGAACATAATAACTCTCCTAGTAGAGTGCGAAATAACCCTTACCGAGCATTTTGTTACTGAGCGTGAGTTCACTGAGTGCCTCTAGGATACACGGCACCAGATCCAACGTGGAGATATGGTCCAGTAACAGAGCACACGCTGCCTCGTGTCGGTCATCTGATAGTATCTCGGGTAGTCCTGATATCATCTCTTTCTGCACCTGGGTATCATGTGTCAGAGCGGTTCTGTGACCTTTTTGGGGTGAACAGGTAATGAGGGTGAAGTGAAGTTTGACTATACCAAGACAGTAGGGTAAATCAGCTTGCATGTGTTCTTTTTGAAGCCCTCACTTTATGCCTTGATTGGAGCTAAATCCGCAAACTTGTACCAGCTTGTATGAATGGGACTACAGTACTGAATTCTCCTAATCATCAGCCATAGTGGCCAGTGCCGCACTGCAAGCTATGTTTGGTCGTAGATTGTAGAAAAACAAGCGAGCGCAAAGAGCATGTCAAGGAAAATATCTAATCTAAACGAAAAAATATCCTGTTGTTTGAAAATGAACATACAAAGACGTTGTTAAAAAAACATAGGCAAAACATTGAAACATAGACAAAAGACATAGACAAAAGGAAAAGTGATCTAACTCCCTTGGGCCGAAGAGAGGCTAAACTAAAGTAGGGAACTGCAGCTAGGGAACTTAAGTAGGGAACTGCTGCTACCGTTTTCAGCACTAGCGAAACGCAAGAGAGCAATCACCTCCAGAAAAACACATGAAATCAGTTTACGTCAAACAATAATCAAATTGGAATGCTAACAAGTTTGAAGCTCTGGGAGCTTAGTTTTCACTTTCGAATTCTAGTTGGATTTGAATAACGTCACTGGCTCACTGGCATGCATTAAATCGCACTTATCAAGATTGGAACCTACCGGAAGCGGACACACCGACAAAACTTCGTTTAGTTTAGTGATTATGACGTCATAGGAGAGGGAGTTCATCCATCGTAACTGTGAAACAATCAGGGCGGCTATGTTACAGTTTCTGTCTTCTGAAATGGAACATTAATCAGGGTTAACCGTTAACAGATGCTTAAAGTTTGAGAAAGCATCTTGGCCAATAGAAGCTTAAATTGAGTATCATTGTTTTGTTCGAGATCATTCGAATTAATATAGATTATAGATTACGTCGACTAGTTTCTTATTTCTAGTACTGTCAACGTGTATCAAACCATATAATGACGTTATTAATCTAATTCGGTGTTATTCCAAACTCTACAACGCTGCATTAAATACGTTCGTGTTCATAAATATGTCGTTCGGCGATGGCGCGTGCAGCAAATTACAAAAACCGCATGGAAAATTTATGCATCGAAATTGGGTGAACTGTGGAAATCGCAATATAAGAATATACGGGCTTTTACTAATTCACTCGATTATGTCACTTTCACATGCTCAGGGACCTTCTGTAAGCAAATTGAAAATCCTGGGTGAGTGATTTAGTGGGACCGCAATATACGAGCGAATATTCGTCATAAAGATGTACACAAATATATATCTCTGTACAATGTCCCAATGTCTGTAAATACAATCTCAGCATACAATAACGAGACACTAATACATCAAAAAGGTGATCTGGTATATTACACAACGATACAATACTAGACTAAGCGAATAAAACATATCTAACCCGAAACAACAGGGAGTTTTTCAAGTAACAACTCGGTCAAAGGTTCCGACAGAGGGGGGACCCGGAGCAGGATCCTAATCAGAGACTCACTGTTAAAATGGGTGGTGTTGTCCTCTTTCAACAGGGGCAACATGGCCACTTTTAGACTGAAACGGAGTTGTTATAGTTTAGTGGGTTTCATTCCTTCTTTAGTCAAATTCTGGGAGCTGTACAACACGCTTTAATGTCTTAGGGACAATAAATCATTGCTTTAAAGGGAGCTGGATTGGAATTGAACAAGCCCTGATTTTACTTTGGAAGTAGAGGTCAAATTACAAAATGAATTACAGAATAGTTGTACAGGAAGCAATAAGGGATACGATGCACAGTAGACAAAGTGTAGTGTGTACTGTGTAGTGTACTGTGTATCTAAGCGAGATTTAAGATACTAAATAACAAGCTCTGGCGGTTAAAACGCCGCATGTAACAAATGATCTGAGCGACAGTCTATGAATTAATAGGCGGAGGGACCCATTAGGCGCCAGCTTAGAGTTGGGCGATTTTGTCAACTTATTTGCTAAAGCGAATGATCGCAACAGGAAATGTTAGCGATGATAACAGTATTGTCTGATGAAATTGAATGGAGGGGGTACCACGTATGATTGTTTCATATTGAAATATGTTGTTGAGCAGGCTGAACTTATATCGAAGACAGTTTTATCCATACAATAGCACCAAGGTATAAGGTTATGTTATAATCTACACTTAACTGTGAACTTTATCTAATCTTACTTGTCAATGTTATCAATGAAGTCCTGTAGGATTGTAAAGAAGTTGTCCCTTGTCTGTGTATCCAGCAGTTTAATACTCAGTTCCCTGAAAATTAATACCGGTGTCATGTAACCATGGTAACAAAGAAGTACACTCCTCATACACTCCTTCTGCCTAGAGTATTACATAATACAAAACTAATGATAATAATATTATTTTAATAAAATAATATCTAAAATCTATCGTTTGAACGTGTAAGAGTCACATGTTTAGTCATTCATGGATCAAATGATGCAAATATTACGTAATAATTACTACACGATTAGTGAAATATTGGGATTTATGCACGGACAAGTAAAAGAATGAAGTTTCTGGAGTACAGTGTCAACCTGCAGCCGAAGAGCATTATGTTTACAAGATTGGAGTCAAACTACGTAACTTAGTACAGCGTTCTACAATGATAAATACTCGTAATATCATTAACCTGTATTATCTTACTGTAAAGAACTTTGAATCTACAGCTGCAATTTGTAGTTTATTACAACTAATTAACTTTGTGAAGCCAGATGTCTGTATTATATAATATAGAATTTACAGTTGCTGCTGAGATCCAATTTAAGATACGCTAATAATTTTGACCTACATATTATTATATCTCACATTTTTAATCAAATAAACATGTATAGTATTACTGTGATAAAAAACAAATTGATGTTGTTACGGAGTTACTGTATTATTACATTGATTATTAATGTAATCAATGTAATAATACAGGGGGGCCAAAAGTATGTACCCATACGTTGAGTCTTATACCACAGCCGTATTTTATATTTGAGAGTTGGGCAATTTGGTAATCTAGCTAGGCACACTTGGGGCACAGTTGGGGCACAAAATTGTATTTCCTGAGGCACAGTTGGGGCAAAAAGTTACTTGGGGCACACTTGGGGCACAGTTGAGGCAAAAAAATGTGGGTGGCGGTGGAGCGACTGCAGGAATAATGGGAGGTGGTGGAGCGACGCCGGGAACGATGGGAAGAGGAGGTGGGGGCGGAGGGCCAACTCCAAAGGGCTGAAGACATCCTGGAGGACGGAGCTCACAGAAAAATTGGTGGACCCGGCCATATTATCGAGATCGATGAATCGAAATTTGGAAAGAAAAAATACAACCGAGGAAGAAGAGTTGTTGGTAAATGGATACTTGGGGGATTTTGTAGGACTACAGACGAGTGTTTTCTAGTGGAATGTCGTAACAACCGGAGGGACCACCACACTCTCCTTCGCTTGATAAAGCTTTACGTTGCCCCAGGGACCACCATCTTGACTGACAAGTGGAAAGGACTAAAGGATACCGTGCTCTTCCACGGCATGGATTTGTACATCTAGTGGTCAACAATTCGAGAGGCTTCGTTGACCCCTTAACTGGCGTCCACACGAACACGTGTGAAGACTGAAGGGATGTGGTTTTACGCAAAGAAACACATGCTCCGTGGCCATGGAAGGACCAGGGCAGACTCTGAAGCCCTAGAGATAGCCCTCTGTGAGTTCATGTGGAGAAAGCGTCGTAACCTCACCCGATCGGACGCATCTGTCAGAAGAGCTTTCAATAGCGAAATCCCTAAGCTTATGAGAAGAGTATTATCCTGAATAGTTGAATGTATAAATTTATTAATGTATTCAGGAATTAGGTTAATTTTAATTAAGTTAAAAATTACGTATACATTGTTACTTATTAATACACCAGAAGATTGTTTACCTTAGTCATTTTTGTCCCAAATGTGCCCCAGTTGGTCCCCAACTGTATTTGCCCCAAGTGTGCCCCAAGTAACTTTTTGCCCCAAATATGCCCCAGGAAATACAATTTTGTGCCCCAAATGTGCCCCAAGTGTGCCTAGCTAGATTACCAAATTGCCGAGAGTTGTTGCTTAGCAGATGGCATACTGTACCATACTGTTCGAGGATTCCGTCGCCAAAATTTGAAAATTCGGTTTTTAGGGGCCACAACCAATCAACATTGAATTGCTTATACTCGTCACTCGTGTTTGCGAACATGCTAGAAAATTCAGTGTAACATAATATTGCAATAGGTAATTAAATCCGGAATTTGATCTGAAAAGATGGCGCCAAACGGATTTAAAATGACGAAGTTATCAAGCAATTTGTTTATATCGTTAACAAAATTGATTGGGTAATCATGTGATTGCATGCTACGACACCGTAATTGGGCTCTCTGTACGATTCCCATAGTGCCAACCCAATCACCTTATCACACCTAATGAATAACCTCCTTATGTTTCATATCTCGTTCATCTGAGAAGTAAAGCTAGAACTCTCATTTTTTCAGGACAAACGTAATTTAAATGGCCAAACACAATTCAATAAAATTTGGCTTGATCCGACTATCCAAACTATAAAATAATTGCGAAAATGAACCTTCATTTGAAAAAAATGAACACGAATATTTTCGATTTGACAAATTCCTCGAACCAGTAATGGTAGTAAGTCGTACCGGAAAGAATTATTTCAATTGGGCACTCAGTGACTGAACTATTAATGCCAACGTATGGGTACTGACTTTTGGCCCCCTCCCATGTAATAACATTAGATCACAGTCAACGTTCCATATTATATCATGATGTAAGCGATCTACGTAACTAACTCCACGTTGCGTTAATTCTGGCCCACCCTGCACAGATAACACGCCCCCATAACACGTGACTCCCACCTGACGATGGTATCAGCTTCGCTGGAGGAACCATGTCTGTCTGCTCCCAGAGAGATACCAAGAGGAGCAAGAAACTCTCCTAACTCCGAGTCTTGAGGTCTGGTTCTTTTGTTACTGCTTGCTATACTAACATTTCCCTTTTTCCGCTTCATACCTTCCGCTAACGGAGACAGTATTCAAATTTTACTATTTTGTATGATTTGATATTATTGAGGTTCAAACACATTTTAACTCAATTTAATTTGCTTTACTTTTATGAATTTTAGATCTTTTCCAGTTTTATGTAAGCTGATTAGCTCATTTTCATTTGTTGACAAATCGAAATATTGAATAATCAGGATCAATTTTGTAAATCATGTAGGTATAAAATAAACAAGCTGACTAATACAGTATATAATTATAGGTAACAAAACGTCAAGAAAAACCACAACAATAAAGAAAAACAGAAAATCTCACAGAATTTAATGGTCTCTCGTAGAATTAACAAATTATCAGCAAAATCGATAAATTAAACGATTGAAAGAAGTCGAATTATAAGTTACTACTAAGAAAAGATAACATTAACAAATCAATAACAAATAAGTTTCTTTCAATTCCTCTGCCCATTGTATGTCATTAGTAATCAGTTATTGTAGCGGAGGATCATTGCGTTTCAAGTGTTCTTCAATTGCTTTCTTTACGGAACCCTGAAAAGAATGCACGGTTAAGTTTGTTATTACCTATTGTGGGACTTACGATTACAAGCCCCATTGCACTACGACACTCTGGCTCTGTCTGGATATTGTAAATTTGTCGAATTTGACAAATTCCAAGTTGATAAAACATCATCAGCTTAGTAGCTATTATAGTAGTAATAGTACCTGTTGAATGAGGAAGTTATGTCCGCCCTCAGAGATGAGATGTAAAGTAGAAGCAGGACATAGTGTGTGGAGCTCTGTAGCGTGATGAGGAGCTATAACCTGAACATTGTCTTATTGGACACGTGCAGATTATTGGAATGTTAGATGAACTAAACAATTGTTAAGGCAAAATGGTAATTATATCTCTTTTGTTGGGCTACCAAAGACTAGAACCTCTAATTGATACAGAATAGAGGCTAAATGTTCAAATAGGACACACTTTAATAGCGCCAAACTTTCTAGTTTACTAGAATAAATAAAACAATTTCATCTCGACGACAAAACTCCTCGCCCCTATATTACATAACACAAGGTTAAATTTACCTCATCATCCTCAGCGAACAATATCAGAACATTCTTGAGATCTCCAATAACGTCTTTAGTCACAAACAAATCACTAAACTGCCAGACGAAATCCTTGTAGATGGGGAGGCTATTCACAAATCTGAGGGTTGGTGATTTCAGCACACAATCAGGAATGGAGAGGAAGGGAGCCTCCAAGATAACAGCATCCACTGCCGCATCTTCCTGAATCAACTGATAAGCAGTCTGACATACCACACCTGTTCCCATGGAGTGACCGTACAGCACGACACGCTTGTCAGGATGCTCTGCACGTGCAAACGCCAACACTTGTCTCGCATCTTGGATACTGTTGACTTGAGAAGACTCTCCGGGCGAGTCCGCGTAGCCCCTGTAATCGAATGAGTACACAGCACACCCTAGGGAGGCGAGGTAGTTAACCAGGTCTACACGGTATTGGTTACCACGTGACCCAGAACTACCGTGACAGTACACTACTACTGTGTCGCACAGACAGCTGCACGTGGGCACGCATTTGCACGTGTTGGCAACATACCAACAACCCAACGCGCCAATTGGTTGGCTGATTCCATCTTGTACGCCCCAAAGTAAGGGATTGTCCAGTGGTTTGTCAGCTTTGTAATACCAAGAGTGAAATAGAAACTTCCTTTGGAGGGTTGGAAACCGCACTAGTATCCAGGGGAACGGTAATAAAACTGAAATTAACAATCTGTTAGATTATATCCAGTATATTATATATGGATACTTTCGGCGAAAGATCGTAGGTATGTGATAAATCATTCCACTGCTCGAACATATAATTTAAATTTGGTGTTAATAGTCTAAAGGAAAATAGCAGAATTCTTATCAGAAGTCGAAGAACAACTTAAAATGTATTTGAATAAAATAGGAGTAGGACATACCAATAATCACAACGATTAAAGCGAGCAGTGCATTCCCTGAGAACCATAAGACTGAACCAAATATGGTTACAGCAGCCATCACTACCTGCTTGTGTGGATCCCACCCAATAGAATCTAGGCTACTTGTGCTGGACATTCTGCGGTAATTAGTAGCAATTAGCGGAAATCATAGCTGATTCAGTTGTTGTATGATATCGAAAAATATCTATTAAATATGTAATTAATAATCATTTGATCAGACGATTTGTTCACAGAGGCAACATATAACTATAAGTGCAGCAAATTTTTGCGAAAAGTGCGATTCCGCACTTGCCTGAATTTGCTTAATGTGCGGAAAATTTGGCGAGTTTGGCGAATAGTGCGGCTTAAGTGTAGTGAGTTTGAGCCTTGCGGGTCTGGGCCTAGCGGAAGTCTTCAAAATGACTGTAATATGGCCAGTAAACTATTAACACTCCCTAACAACAAAAGAGCAACTGATAAGAGATATTATGATTATTATGACTCTGGTCAGTCTTAAATACAGTCTAATATAAGTTATCTCACAGCATATTGGTACGATGATGCGATTCTTCTAAAGCTGTGACTTTTTAAAGAGTGCAATCGTCGCGTTGCGATCATTGGTATGTTTATTTAATCACCAAAGAAATTTGGTGTCCTTTCATCCAAAAGTTACACCATCTGCATACTCAAAATGAAATCATTGCTAGATACATTTTGCAAGTTGCTACTCAGCACCTATATTTCATCAAAATAGCAAACATTTAGAAAATATCGCTATGATTTGATGGCAATATTCTATTTCTATTTCGGAATATATAAAATATGCGGTATCGAGGTAAACGACTCATCAATAAGTTAATAGTGCGATTATGTGCGGGAAACGGTTAATAGTGCGATTATGTGCGGGAAACGGTTAATAGTGAGATTGTGTGCAGGAACGGTTAATAGTGCGATTATGTGCGGGAAACGGTTAATAGTGCGTTTATGTGCGGGAAACGGTTAATAATGCGATTATGTGCGGGAAACGGTTAATAGTACGATGCCACACCCGCCGCACTTATATACTGCCTCTGTTCGTTCATGAATAAGAAATTCGGTTCAACTGTAGAATAATACTAAATCAAATAACCTGTTAAATAAGAGAATAAAGTAACACGAGTAACTAGCCACTCTACACAGGGCTACACATTTTGTAATACGGTGAGGATCACACTGAGAATTAGAACGATCTAGTGCACAGAAACACGTTTAAAACATTTAAACAGAAACATTTAAACAGTTTACCAAACCAGTAACACTGCATTTCAGCTAAAGAGCACTTACCATGTTTTCACTGACACCCCGTAACCTGCTCAAACACACAAACTGACAAAATGTGAAAGTGAGAATATAAGACTGCTTGCTCAAATATGAAAGTGGATAAGGCATGACGTTAGATACTGCAACGTGATTGGCTGAATCTGAGCCCGTCACGTCACAACCGTGCAGCTATTGGTGGATATGTTACCGGTACAAGTACAATAGAGGGTGTCAAATAACATTGTAATATATCGAGCTGTGGAAATGGCAGTGTCAGAGTGGCACGTTTTTATGATTTGTAGTGAGCTACTAAATATGGGAGTTATTGCAGGTTGTGAAATAAAATCATGCGGAGAAAACCCTTATGAGAGGTCTTGACACTACAAGAGTTAAAGGAAAGAAGATAATGCAAAGTTGGTAATCACACCATGAAAGGTCAGCTACAAAATATGTACAATACCAGAGGAAGATACAGGGCACAATTTAGGAGCAATATTCGCGAGATAATGATTAACGACCGTAAAAGTGTAAGCATAGAACAGCATGGAAACTGTGCCAGGATCCAGAATCCAGATTTATCATATCAGTTATCAATTATCTACTCTTAGAGATTATGCCTTATTCTACAGGGTGGCCCATAAGTCAGTGTGCAAACGTTGGGCTTTGAACAATATATATATATAATATATACAGTCGGCATGCTGTGACTGATATTTCTCATTTGAGGATTCTATCGCCATAATTTTAAAATACCCTTGTTGGAGGACACGCCCTTTTAACATTAAATTAGTTTTACTCGTTTTAAGAGGAACATGCTATATACTGCACTACATACTGCACTACATACTGCACTACATACTGCACTGTATACTGCACTATATACTGCACTGTCATACTGCACTATATACTGCACTGTATACTGCACTATATACTGCACTGTATACTGCACTATATACGGCACTATATACTGCACTATATACTGCACTGTATACTGCACTGTATACTGCACTATATACTGCACTACATACTGCACTATATACTGCACTGTATACTGCACTGTATACTGCACTATATACTGCACTGTATACTGCACTATATACTGCACAATATACTGCACTATATACTGCACAATATACTGCACTATATATCAGTGACTGAGAAATAACCCAAACGTTTGCACACTGACTTATGGGCCACCTGTATCATCACCAGACTTCTTACTCCTGAAACCATTGACAGATTCTAATTAAAATTATTATTTCTAAATATGGGGTAGTTTACATATTATTATTACGTTATCACTTTTAGGCAAATTTGAAACCCCCTCCCCCTCCGTAATAAGTTTTACACATAGCTATTGTGTTAAAATTACACTAGCGTAATAATTTAGAAACCTCCTCCGTCCCCTAAGTGACCACGTAATATGTGAACAACCCCATATTATGATCATATTATTATCATAGTCTCACAATAAAACTCATGATCTTATACAACAAACAATGTGTAGCAAATGAAACATCTTAATAATTACAGAATTATGAAAACATAAAGCAGTAGAACTTCACGCGGGTGTAATTGAGGCTGATAAACTAGTCCCACTAAAACACACAGATAATGTATAGCTGTCCCCCCTCTCTACCTCACATCCAAATAATATGGCAGCAGGTCTCCATAAGGGCTCGTCTGAAGAACAAAACTTAGCCCCCGACTGAAACTCTAACTCAGTCCAAAATACAAGAGCAGTAGGTGGGAGAGGAGCTAAACCCTGAAACTGTATAGTTCTTGAGTTAAGTTGCGGAGTCTGCTCTGATACTCCCAGTAGGATGAGTTGTTCTGATAGTTTAGTGTGTTCTAGCGTGTTCCATGGTATGTTCTCATGAAGCAGAGTCCTATATTTGTTAACCTCTGAAGATAAGGTGTTTGACTGGCTGGTGTCCCTCAGGCACAGAGCTAGAGGGTTCACTCGGGACCACGAGAGAAGTTTCTTGCTGTGCAAAACGTAGCCACGAAACGATACTGACTTAACTGAGGCATACTGAAACGGATTGCTAATAACAAGTCCACACACATCCACAACTTTTGGAACGACGTTGAGAAGTTCGTTAGACGAGGACTGAGCGAAGTTGCTGTTGAGCAGTTTAACTTGACTAGGTTCCACAACCGAATACTCCGCCTGATCTCCAACCCACGACAAAAGAACACTCACCTCAGTCAGCTCCACCTTGATACCAACCACCTGACCAGATGTAACGTACCGTCTGGGTAACGGGTGGAAACCTTGCTCCCAACACCCCATACGGGAGTGGTTAGTTTTAGAAAGTTAGGAGCAGTGGTGATGGTGTTGTCCTGGAAGAGATCTGCAGTGAGGAATGAACACACTCCGTCACACCAACCATCTGTAATTACAGGTAGTGATATTAATGATAGTGTTCTATCAAAAGTGTCTCCTAGCTTCACTTTAAAGATATTTGCGGGGTCGCTCAGCTGAACTACATCTGTGTATTCGTCAATAAACTCACAACAATACGGTTCCTCGGAGGTTCCTATGTTTGTTCTGAAATTACCACAAAATGAACCTAAATGCAAAGTTTGGGAATGAATAAGAAAGCCTTGTAACGTCACCTGTGAGGGGATAAACCGTATGTTTTTGTTTAATGACCTAAGCGCTAAATCTCGACAGCTCCTAACAATTCCCTCGCCTATCCCTATACTATCCAGGGTCTCCGAAACAACCAAATCTACATGATTGCTACCAACATCAAACTCTTCCGAAGAACAATGCCCGAATTTAATGTTACCAACACCAGCGGTTACTGATTTCCCCATCCTACAAACAACCTCATCTTGTTCCACAGCAAATACAGTTGTAGCTCCAGCTGCTGCTGCATAGAGGCTCAATATACCAGAGCCAGCTCCCACGTCCAACACAACAGAACGACGATCCTTTAGTTCTGAGAGGAAGCTGGAGATGGCAGAGCTGAATGAGTGATTTCGGCGAATGTCGTTGAGCATTCTGAAGCTCCATCTTACTACCAGGGTGTTGCGAATGTTGCTCACAGTTTCGAACAGATCAGGATCTAGTATCCTCCTTGAATTACATACCACTGAAAAAAATTGTAAGTTGAATATTATAATTAAATTAAATATTGAATATGATGATAATAATCAAAATTTAATATAGACTCTCGATTAACCTGGTTCCGATGAACCGGGTTTACGATTTACGCATAATCTTACCCTTTATATATATATAAGTATATATAAGTATATATTATATATTGATCCTAGTTTTATATTAAAATTTATGTGAATCCATCTAACGGGTCCTCATATTTACTGAGCATTCCAACAACTTGATAAGATAACTAACTACCTCTTGATAAGTAGAGATTAGCCTCCACTAAGTTTCCCTGTTGCACGGCCGCCCCACCAAACAATCTACACACTGTTTCCTCGTGGTAACTGTATCTTTTAAGCTTGGTTATCTCCTCAAAACAGGCTCTTTGTTGTTGGGCACACTGGCAGTGTGTGAGCCACGAATCTAGACAGCTCCGTAGTATCTCCCAACACTGCAGTGGTGTGGTAAAGTTAGTGAACACCTCGCAAATCTTTAGATCTACGACTCTTTCATTTTAAAAACTTCTAAAGGCACAGCTGCATTGATTAGCTTCAGGCTTTTTATACACATAAGAATGCTTCAATTCACCTCAATGTTACTATATTATATTTTACAAATGTATGATGTATACTTATATGGCAATTTTGGTCATTTTCAAATTTCACATCTTAGTGGTCAATTGTATTTTGGAAGCTTCCAACAACAATTAATATAAATATGGATAATATTCCCTACCTGTTCTATCAAGTTGGTGTCTGAAAGGCGTTGTAGTTTGGAGATAACAAGACTCACTGCAGTGTCAACACCTACAGTTGCAGCCTTCATTACCCGGTACTGGTACTTCTGGGCACTTGGCGGAACAAAATTATACCAAATACTGCACAATTTGATTGTTATGAAGAAAGGAAATGTTTATATCTTGATTGAAGGGATGATTTGTTGGATACTTTGTATCGAAGAACCGAACTTAGTCGATGATCGTCCTAATTTCATTGACACCGACAGTGCAATTTTGGGTAACGAAACAAGGAAATATTATGTAACAGTGAAACTGAATATTTACAAAAAATATTATATCAAATAACGTCGTATAGTTACAGCATCTTACGAAAGGAAAAAACATAGTGAAAATTCGAGCTGTGCAACGTGCTCACAATAATCATGACGGGCAGTTTGGTAATCTACGGAATGGCACATAAAAATCAGATCTCATCATCAGAAAAGTCCATTTCAGGAGGGAAATCTCCAACTTCCACCATCCTGGGCTGGAGGAATGCACCGTACTTATTCTCACACTTGAAGTATCTCTTTCCCTCCACCACTCCGTCGTGTTTTCCCACGGGCTCATCAAACTTGATCCCAACCCAGTGACCGTCCTTAAACTCCACCTCTCCCACAAACATGACTTGTCCACGTCGGGGTGGTTGTTTTGGAGTGCGTGCTTCACATCTGTCACCGATGTTCATCTTTGAGGCCCTCTCCTTGTTCTCCTCCGATTGAGCCGCCAGTTTTGCTTGTACCTCAGGGTTAAACCTTCCAAGTTTATTGCGCTTCTTAAAAGCCTGGACAGTATCCTCCTTCTGGTCGTACTCCTCCTTCGACAGCTCGTATTTCTCAACAGCGCTAGTATCCTGGAAATTAGCCGCTGTAGGGTCTGTGATATGTAACCTCACATCAGATGGCAAAACATTCTTCAAAATAGCATCGTCGTCTGTAAGCTTCCCGATTGACTTGTTTAGGTCGTTGAATATTTCTATTTTCATCGAGTTCATAGATGCTCCGGTGATCATTTCAAGTTTTCCCTTGAGCTCTCTGACGGTGATGTGTGAAGGGAACCGCTTCTCTGTAGCCATAGGAGATACTGCGCTGGTGATGCTGAGCTTGAGGAAGTCAGGGTTGGTTACTATAGCTGCCATGGTGTTGCCTGCTTGTTGTACACAACTGTACGCCTACAGTGGGATTAAACATGTTATGAGTGTATCTTCATCGAATAGTTATAAAAATAAACAAGGTTAAAACATCGTATTTAATGTTTTGAACAGTTTTTGAACTATTTGACTTTCAAGAATTGTTTGTGGTGAGATTTGTGACGAAACAGTAAACAATAAAACAAAACGGAAAAGAATTTGTGGGTCCCAAAAATAGAATTGAAGAAGAATTAAGAATGAACACAATAAAGCAATAACAATAATATAATATTAATACAGATTTTAGACTCGTATCATTGTTTAATGTTTATTGATATATAATTTCATACATTAACAAAATCTTAAGTTGTACGTTGGTACTCATCAATAAGATAAAACTTTTCAGAATTTTACACAAACATATAAAATAAAAAAGCATCACCTAAAACATTTAAAACATTAGCTTAAAACCGAATTTTAATTTGGCGTCTAAATTCGAGGCATGTCCGTTCAGTATAATACAACAAGTCAATATTCTATCAGATTGTACAACAAATAGAAAAATTAAGAAAGGAAGTTAAGAAGCTTTAAAAAGAATGTCAGTTTGATTATATATATACCAAATAAGATGAAAATAAGCATAAAATAGCATAAAACTTAATATTCGAATCCGAAAGTTGACGGGAACATATTATCTGCAATTCAATAAAATAACTCAACAGCGTAATCAAGAGTCAAGACTAGATCAAAATCAATGACACCCGATTGGTCGATGATCAATTCTTAATAAGTTAATAGTTTTGATAACCTTTAAAATGAAATACGTAACATTATCTACATACTTAGACTTAGTTTACTCACTTGCTTACATTTATATGAAGTGAAATGAGACAAAGTATTTACTGTATTATATCCACAAAAGATATCAAAATTATAAATTACTGATTTCAAAGCGGCTCTTAGCTCCTAGTATAGTGAAATATAAAAAGGACTATCTGTTAATTTAGCATTAAGGAACTTCGTTGCTTATATAATATAAAATATTATATAATAAGGTATTTTACATACCCATATAATTAATTTTACACTACCCCATACTCTAATTAATTCAATCTAAATTATACTATTTAAATCTTTCTGTTTCCCATGAAAGAGCACCTCACATTCTGCAACACTGTTAGGAAGTTGTTTGTTCAAAGTTTCAGGAATGCTCTTCATCAGTGACATAGAGGTTAAAATGCAAGCTATGGATATGACGTAGATAAGAGATCCGGATATCTGGTTGAGAATGATAACAAAAGGAGAGAGAATGGATGCAATTCTAGCAACAGTTGAGCACATGCTGACACCAGTAGAACGAGCAAGTGTAGGCAGTACCTCACTAGTATAAGTGTAGAGCAGACAAAATATACCTCCACCAGCACCATGCCCAATCATAACAAAGATGCTCTTGAGGGTAATCTTACCCCAGTATATTTCAGAAACATTCGGAACCAGACAGAGTCCAAGAGAAACAGCACAAACTGTAAAGTACCAACGTGTAGAACATTTTCTTCCGTATTTGTATGCAAAGAAGATAATTGATAACCTTGCAGGGATATCAATGAGGCCCATCCAGATCATCACGCTGTACTCATCGTCCCCAAGTGAGCCAGCATTAAACTGTAATGCATAATAACATGTAGAAACAGTGAACCAGGCAAAGGAAAGTTTCAATATTGACTTTGTAAGGGTTTGGCTAGAGATAATGATTCTGAATGGATTTCCAGATGCCTCTTCTTCGTTGCATTTAGGGAGTTTGAAATCTATTGGGAGCGGGGGATTTCCATTTATTTTAGCAACAAAGTTAAGCGACCGTATGGCTTCAGAAGTCCTATTTTTTGCAAGGAGCCAAAATGGAGTTTCTGGACATAAGACAACATAAAATAACAGTATGATGGTCTGTGAGAAGATCAAAGGTAGAATACTGTCTTGCCAATGTCGGTTGCTATACGCTAGGAGACTTGAAACAGAACTTCCTAATGCAAAAGCTGCACCATTTACAATATTAGCAAGAGCACCGATATCTGGTAGGGTAAATTCACAAAAAGCTGTAAAAGCACAAACGGAAAGTCCAGAATGAAAGAAACCCAGGGCAAAGCGAAATACATAAACCGTTATTAGAGATGTTGATCGATACAAGCCCATGATTGCTAACAGAAACCCAAGAAGAAGAGAAATGTTGGTCTTTTGCCTCCCATATTTATCACAGAGTGAGCTGAGTATTGAAACTCCAGCCATAAAGCCAACAAAATACACGGTTGTTCCCATTCCTTTCAAATACATATTGTCACAATACAATTCAAATTCTGTTAACCAGTTGTGGTGAGTATTGTCGAACTTCCATTCCTCTGGTTTGAGTTTGCAAATTAGAGTGTCACCGTTTTCTTTGCCTTGCAAGGCTTGGCAGTTTTGAGATAGGCATATAACCTTGGGCATGATGGAGAGTGCCTGAAACTGAAATGTGATACTGCCATTGATGATCCCAATTCCAATGTGTATGAAGAGAAAAATTATCTGGAATCTCCCGAAGTAGCCAACACGTTCCAAAGCCTCAGGTATCGTGCTAGTAGATGTCATTCTGATAACATTTGAATAATTTTAATTGATTAATATATTTCTAGTACGACACTCGAATTTATAGGTGGTCAATTTTAAACAATTTAGGCAGCAGATAAGTACTCAACTAGCTTTAGTTTCTGAGAGAGTTTTTGAATTGGCTCATAAAACACAATCAAACAAAACAGATTAGAGGGATCCCAAGAAAAGTAATTATCCCCAAGTAATTATACTGTGGACATAAAAAGATAAAATTGAATACTCCCATGTAACATTATCATATTATTATTATTAATAATATGATAATATACGTTAAAGAGTTCCTGCGAAAGATGGAATGGAAAGCATACTTCCACCAAACCCAAACAGATACAGCCGGTGATACTGAAGATATCCACAAGGATTTGCGACTACGGTCTAGAAGGCATCCGCAAGACTACAGTCATCCCCTGTTCGATGAAATCAAAACAAGATTGACGGGATTCGTCACAAACCCAAATCCTGACGAACCACATTCAAACCTTACTGATGCCGAACAGAGAGGAAAGGGCTGGATCTTGAAATCAATAGAGGATCAAAGTATATTCGTCACGAGTGCGGACAAAGGTGGAGCTACGCTGCTTTTGGACTATAGGACCGTGATGGATACAGTTAAATCTGAACTGGAGAAGGAGACAAAATTTACAAAATTGGAGATAAGTGTAGGAGTGAAAATGGAGCAGACTCAATTGAAAGTGAAGGAAGCAGTCCTCAAACATCATCATCTGAACATCATCTCTGAGGAGGTAAAGAAGCGAATCACAGGTATAAATGACAAGGGGAACATGGTCCACGCACCTGAAATCCGCCCTGAAATACCATATGCGTACCCTTTATACAAGGTTCACAAACTATCTCAAGAACAAATCGAGGCAAAGACTATACCACCTGTCAGATTAGTTCACGCAACTAAAGGAGGGCCCCTTTATCGTTTAGAGAAGTTTGTGAGCCCGTACGTCACTCAGATCAGCAGAAAATACTGTGAGGAGGAGTTCATCTTGGATACCCCAGACATTATTTCTCAGATCAACAGCTACAACAAGGAGACGCTAAAGGGCGCTTCTAGAAACTTGCAGCTCTTTACTCTAAATAAATAAATAAATAAATAAAGTCAATTTTTACAGCACAGCAATATATATCTAAATATCAGATCCTCTGTAATCATAATGTATAAAAAAAGGAGCTTTTCTCTGTGCTGAAGGATGAATCAAGGCAGATCATGGTTCTGTTAGCAGGCCACCCTAGTTATGGACAATACATATATATAAAATAATTAAATTATAATTTTAAAATTGTGTCAAGATTGAACTAAAACATAACTCAGGGTAAAATAGACGTATTCCCTTCGTCAAATTAACTATTTACAATACTAAACTTAAACGAACTCCGGGTAAAATAAACGTAATCCCTTTGTCAAACTTGCTATTTACAATAAGTTAATAAATTAATACGGTTGAAAATTATTTCATATTCAATAACAATGTAGCATCAATATAATTGATACAAATGAGGAGCATACATAGCAGTGAGAATTGCACATAACAGGAGGACTGGAGGTATGGAGCAATAATGATTGACAGTGCACCTTTCCACTGATGTTCCTAATTTTCTGTAATAGCTTAATAGGCATGGAAATACTTTGATTGCAGGGGATAGATTGGATTCACTTATGTACTGAGATAACTTAACCGAAATAACATAACTGCCTAGATACATTGGCTAGTGTTGGGTGGGATCATGAATTTATCGTAAGAGTTATCCCCTTGGTAATTCTCATCAGTTAGCACCATATTCATAAGAGTTTCTTTGTATAACTTAGAAAATTTCTTAACGTCGTCACACTCTCTAAGGGACTTTGGTAATATGTTCCAGGCCTTAGTTCCTAGATAGTTAAACTCCTTGTGAGATCTTGATTTAGGAGTATAAAGATTGCAGTTTTCTGCCTCACGTGATCCACCAGAAATATACGAGAATTTCCCGATAAAATGCTTTGGACATGTTTCATTGATTATACGGTACATATATGAGCTAAGATGAACCTGTCGTCTCAAATGGAGAGGAAGCCATCCCATATTTTTGTATACATTAACCGACCTCTCTCTGATGTTTACATCTAGGGCTATTTTAGCAACCTTTTTGTACATGATATCTAACTCTCCTAGTCGTTTTTTATATGTTCTTGACCAGATAATGTCTAAGTAGTCAAAATGTGGCAACATAAGTGCATTAGCAAACATCTTCCTGAACTTAAGAGGGAGAAGTTTTTTTGATCTATACATAGCACCAATTCTTTTGGATATCTTTTTCTTAATGTTATCAATATGTTCATTAAATGTCAATCTGCTGTCAACTATAAGTCCAAGGTACTTATGGGATTTAGTTTCACAGATTACCAAAGTAAGGTCATCACAAATTTCAACAAGGATGGCATCAAGGTTAGGCTTAGAGTCAAGGATCATTAGTTTTGTTTTTTCATTATTCAGGGATAGTTTATTAGCCTGAAGCCATCTGATAACTAATTTCAACTCTTGTTTGATGTTACCATAGTTTCCTCTAGATATATTGTCAAAATATAATGCACCGTCATCAGCAAATAGATAAGGTTTAGAAAATAGGCATGCATTAGGCAGGTCATTGATAAAAATGCTGAATAGAATTGGTCCTAATATACTTCCTTGAGGCACTCCAGAGTTCAATGAATGTAAACTGCTTATCCTACTCCCAACTCTAGTTTGCTGTAATCTATCTGTGAGGAAGCTCCTAAACCAGCTCAATGCAGTATTTTTTATTCCATAATGCTTCAGCTTTTGAATGAGAATATCATGGTTAACAGTATCAAATGCCTTTCTGATGTCCAGGAAGATAATTGCAGGATGCTTGGCACTGTTCTTAGCAGTAAATATACGATCAAACAGATCTAACATGAGATAAGTTGTAGAGTGATCTTTACGGAAACCATATTGATGCTCTGAAAGTATTCCCTTTTCATCAAGATATTGAGTCAGTTGGGAGTTCACACAAAATTCGATGCACTTTCCAAGAATCGGTAAAATTGAGATTGGTCGATAATTACTAGGATTCTCAGTATCACCATCCTTATGGATTGGGGTGACTTTTGCAACCTTGCAGCTGTTTGGCATGATGCCACTGGATAAACTCAAATTTACAAGATGTGTTAATGGAGCAATAAATGCAGGTAAAATTTGTCTAAACACTCTCAATGGTATATGATCATTAGTGGATTTGCTACGAGGGATACTTGCCACATAGTCTAAGATATTGGACTCAGTTATTTCAGTAAAGCTATTCAAGCTGGTCTCGTTGTCAATCTGCTCATTTTGTAGATAAGATAGAAATTCATTTTCATTTTCCAGCTGCACTTCTGCTTGGATCTTTGGACCTATTTCAGCAAAATATTTATTGGTGGTTTCAGCATCAAGATTGTTATTGATATTGTTAGCTTTAACAGGCAGATTTGATGCTGTCTTTATCGTTTTCCATACACCCTTTAGATCATTCATGGCACACTTGGCTTTCAGTTCTGTTGCTAAGTTAGTCTTCCTATTAATTCTAGACAAATAGGTTGAATAGTTTCTCTGCCGTTTATATGCCATCCATAATGAGTCACATTTATTACAGTGTATAAGACCATTTGGATGTATACGTCTGTTCTTGTTGTGTGTTAAAAATTTACGGTAAAGTTTCCCTTTCAATTTCTTACTTTCTAAAAATTCTGGAGATGGCTTATGGATGTAATCACTATGGCACTTAATTTGTTTAATTGGACAGAAGTGATCATAGTAGTGATCAATATGTTCGTTTAAACCATCAACTGCATCATTCAGACTAGTTGAATCTATTATTGGTCTATAATCACAAGTTTCCAAAAATTCTTTAAGAGCAGTAACATTCATTTTGCTGTGATCTCTTATTAGTAACTTCTTGAATTTTGAAGCCTTATGCACATTGAAATCGACAATGAACTTTACGACCTGATGATCTCCTATACAATCATCAAGGACTTTGCAGTCAAGAAACTTGGAGTAAGTGTTTGTTATGACAACATCGATTGTGGTCTTTGTGATTCTGTTTCCTAGTTTAGCAATGCGGGTAATATCCTGAACTACCTGTACCATTCCAAACATTTTCATTGTAATGTCTAATTTCTTATAGTTCATACTGCTGATGTTGTTTTGGTCTACATTTACATCACCCAGCCAAATAACATTCTTACTTCCTATACTCATCATGCAGTCTGTCATATAATCTAAAAATTTGTCAAGAGGACTAAACAACTCAGATCTGTAGAAACAGCAGATGAAAATATTGCAATCTGTAAGATGGATCCAAATAGCCTCGATTTGGTCATATTGCAAAACTAAGTTTAGTTGAATCATTTTAAACTTTATGTGCTCACTGATGAGAATGCCACATCCCCCATGACCATTGTCGTTAGGACGGTCTTTGCGGATGAAAGTAAAATTCTTGGGTAGGTTTAGACTGGCTGAGTCAATATCCGACTTAAGATTTGTTTCATTCAGGCATAAAACATCTAATTTCTCTTTCCAGATTAGATCTTGGATTTCAAGACATTTTGGCATACCTGTTAGTCCTCCCTGCATGTTGCAATGTCCCACTGCAAGCTTTTTGGCATGGTATGAAACTGTGATTTTACTAATGCACGGGTTAATGCAAGAACTGCTGTGAGAGCATGAAAATTTTTCCAATTTATGCTGCTATAAACTTGTCAGAATAAGATAAATTGCAGAACTGGCAAATTTGTATGAGATAATAACAAAACTTTCTAAAACTTCAATAAACATGAGGAACAATGTGTAATTATCCCCTATCTAGATGAAATAAATGTTAACAATCTTTCTGAAAATTCAAACTTGCTTATGGGCCCAATACTTCAGAAATTTAGCAAGTCGAATAACACCGCTTGTATTGAGGTGACAGTTATCAGATATTTTTGCAGATGGTCTGGCAAAATAAAATTCTTTCCTGAATCCACTTCTATTATAGTTAAATAAATTATGGGTGCTAATGTAATTAAAACAAGAATCTTTGCTACACATATCCTTAATAACCTTATTCAGCTCTGCCACAACATCATTGCGGCCTTTTGTACTCCTGGGAAGAATATTGAGAACATTAATTGTTGCATTCGGATACACTGACTTCAGATAATTTAAGAGATTACTAATGTCACCCGCTGCATCCTTCAGTGACTTTGAGCCAAAATAGACTGTGTTCACATTATTAGTTCCTGTCATAATATAAATAATAGATGGGGATGGAACGGAGTGTAGGTCAGTTTTTAGTTTATTTAACATTACTTTGGCATCAGCCCCAGGATAAAACAGTTTACTAGCACTAACAGTGGACGATGATAACTTGTCCGCATCAAGAAACCTGAACATAGAGCTGCTTATGAATAGGACAGACTTTTGTGAAGCTTTAGCTGACTGTTTGCAAACTGAGAGTGCAGGTGAAGAAGAGTCTGTCAGTTTGTGTCCTAAATGAGGGATGGGTGGGGGCGGTGAACGCAGACCAAACTCAGTTGACTGAGTGATCCTAGGGGGCTTCATCAGTCTTAGGGTGATGCTGATCCGGGGTTCATCACACATTTCGTCTGGCAGTATCTCATGTTGAAAGTCAGCCTGAGACAATTTGGACATGATGAAGACATCTCCATGCTGAAGCTGTACAGAGCCCACAACTTCATTGCTGCCGTTTGATCTAATTTGCAGTGTTCTCGTCGCACCAAGTGAAATGGTTACAATATCAGAGTGTTCTACAATACATGATTCAGAATCGCTATGAGCTGGCATGAACTCTGCTCCAGTTTCATATAGATTGACGAGAATACTATTGTGTCTGAAATTGGGTAATATCACATTAATGTGGGAGCTGAGTTTAGCAAGGTAGGAATCATTGTGTACACTTTTTGGGTCATGTGTTGCACCTGAATACTCATAGGGAAAGTCACCAAAATAAACCGATTTCCTGTTTTTAAAACCGTGACTGAACTCAAGTTCTTCCATTAATAGATCAAGTGAAAATTTAGAGAATGGACCATCATCTAGTAGGGTAACTGGTTTCACTGGTGATGGGGAACAAGTTACAGATATATTCATTGGCCCCGGTGTTATAGGATCGTAGACAGGGGCAGGGACCAAGTTTGGATATTTGTCTCTGGGCTTAGGGGTGTTGATCCGTGATTCACCAGTAGCAGTAGATACAGGGAGATCAGACACATCATCCTCGTCTGCCATAACCTCGTTAACAACAATCTCACTGATAACAATCTCGTTTCCAACAACCTCCTGTGGAACAACCTTGTCCACGACATCGTTGTCAACAAACAAACTGTCCGATACAACATCTTCCACAACAATGTCATCTACATCAAACGCTTCTACTTGATTGATAACAACGTGTGACTGAGGGGTAATGGTTATGATCTCACATTCAATCTCCTCTGATAAGTTTGGCAGCAAATTTTCACACTTAAAACTCTGTTCTTGTATTTGAGTTTGATCTGATATGAGGCTATCATTGTACTGAGCAATGAGATCACTAGTTCTGATAATTTCATTCAATAAAGACAACTTTTTTTCTAAAAAGTCAATCTTGATGTCTTTTGACAGACAATTGTTACAGTTCTCTGATTTTTCAGACTGGAATGAAAAGTTCAAATGTTCTAAAGGGCGCTCACAAGAGTGGAGACTAATGTCTGAGCTCTGATTATTTGACATAGTTATATTATCAAGAGTTCAATGTTCAGAAGCACAATAAACACTGTAAACGCAATACCTTCAGTCCAGATAATAGTTTTGATGAGAATAGTTTTGATGAGAAGGAGGAGGATGAGTAATCTTCAAGTACACTCACAGCAGTCCTTTGCACGTCAACACTTACGCTCGTCTATCATATCTCATACCTCAAATTATTTGTTATATAGTAGTGTTGAAAGTATTAAAACTCTAGACGTGGCAGCATTATATCCTAGCATCAGGCCTGAACTAGCGCTTACTGCTCTTGAGGATGCCCTCAATAGTGATACCAACTTCTCACAAGAGCTAAAAGCGGCTTTGCATGAGTTCACTGACCTGATTTTCCGGGAGTCCTTTGTCACTTATCAGGGAGAGGGATACATTAACAAGGAGGGTATCCCGACGGGAAATTGTATCTCAAGACAAGTGGCAGATGTGACGATGCATTGGCTATTGTTTAAACAGATCAAAGGAAAGATGAAAAACTGGAGTTTGGTAGACCTCTGGAGGAGATTTATTGATGATGTACTTGGGGTGTGGTTAGGAACAGTCCGACAGTTCAATCTATTCGTGGAGCAACTGAACAAACTGGCAGAACCATTTGGAATCAGATTTGCTGACCAACAAATCGGTAAAACTGTTAATTTCCTTGACATCACTCTAACCTTGGATACTTACAACCAGATCCAATATAGACTCTACAGAAAGGAGACAGATGCTAGGAATTACTTGCGAACGGATAGCTTTCATCCTCACCATGTATTCGAATCTGTGGCGTTTTCCCAGATGATACGAATCATAGAAAGGAACTCGCAAGACTCAACCTGTGTAGAAGACTTAATGGAGCTGAAAGCAGATTTATCTAAAAGCGGACATAACAGCGTTAAGTTAGAGGAGATCGAGCCGAGAGCAGTTGTCAGAGTACTGGAGAACACCCACGGAGCCAACAGGTCTAAGGAGAGTGAGAACGCTGATAACTTAGTCTTTTCAGTACAACACTCTTCGGACAACATTCAGCTGAAGAAGTTGATTCACGAACTTGGACCGGACATCAGGAGGATATGTGGAGATATACGTGTGATATTTGCCACACGAAAACATCCTTCAATCGGAAACAGGGTAGTGAAGAATCGACAACTTGGAAATAAGGCTGAATGTCCCCAAAAAACATCACAGAAGTGCTCAGCCCCTGGATGCAAGACTTGCCCGGTATTGTTCGATCTTGACTCTAAGATCATGGTCAACGGCATGGAGCTTAATCTAGACGAATCCCTCACGTGCAAAGATAAGCACATTATTTACGTTGCACAATGCCAGCAGTGTAGGGCTATTGAGGGATCTGAGGACACTTACTTTGGGCAGACGTTGACTCCATTCCACATTAGGCTCAATGGGCACCGGAACAAGTTCAACATTGACGACCGTGCCCTCTACGAGCACTCAGCCTTATCAATGCATTGTTACGATGTACACAAGGACACTTTCAGTTTTGACTGTTTCAAATTCGGGATTGTGAAAAAGACTAAACCTTCCCTATTAGATAGGGAAGAGGCTAGATTTTGTGCAAAGTTTAGAACTAATGTTTGGGGTTTAAATAGGATGGAAATTAAAAGGTAGTTTTTTTGTGGTTTTTACCAATATCTGTAATTAATTAATTTTAACAATTTTGTGCCAATTTTGCGTCATTTTTCTTTATAAATTTTATCTACCACGCTATCAGTGAAACAATTTTATCGTATTCCAATTTCTGATCGACTTTCATGATATTCTCTAATCATGACCTTTTTATAAATTTTTGAATCTCTTTGACTGAGTATTATGATTGATTTTATCTGACTAATTTATTTCTTTTTTGTAGGCTCTAGCGATGTAATAAACGAAGTTTCCAAGCCAAATTTGTGTGTTTCCCTTCGTGTCCAAAATCAATCATTATTATTATATTGTACTACTACGCCACATCGAAAGTTCATTCTATGATCTAATGACTCTAATATTTAAACCCTAGTAATTATATCAAAATATTCCATGAGTGTTTATTTATTTGAATGTTAGCTTTGTACTCTAAAATTTGTAGTTCCTATTTCAGTTGTCCATGTCATAATAATCATTTTCTTCTTTAATTCTTTCTTTCTTAATATGTACATTATATTATATCATATATTATACTTCTACCATTTCACATCAATTATTTACAATACAGTCCCAACAGATTATATAAGAAGAGAAGCAAACGAATAAAAAGAATCTTTAAAATAGGCAAGCCAAACAGTAAAACTTTATATCACATTCAGATACATTTAGGTATGAGCGCCTGCGCCCATCCCTTTCATATAATATAGTTAAAATAACATGACAGAACTCAAATGTATAACTAATTGACACAAACGCTTTTACAGGTGCAACAAAAGAGCAATATAAATTAAATTCAAACTAGCATTTACAGGGAAGAACTTAATTTGTTACATGATGCAAAATAAATATTCATTTATTCAGAAAATCAAAGAAATATCAAATATTAATTAACACCCAATATAACTAATACCTTTCCACTAACCATGTGAGAACTTAAATTACACTGACTCAACTTTCTGTTTCCCATGAAACAGCACCTCACATTCTGCAACACTGTTAGGAAGCTGTTTGTTCAAAGTTTCCGGAATACTCTTCATCAGTGACATAGACGTTAAAATGCAAGCAAAGGAAATAAAGTAGATCAGAGATCCGGATATTTGGTTGAGAATGATAACAAAAGGAGAGAGAATGGAAGCAATTCTAGCAACAGTTGAGCACATGCTGACACCAGTAGAGCGAGCAAGTGTAGGCAGTACCTCACTAGTATAAGTGTAGAGTAAGCTAAAGATACCTCCACCGCAACCGTGCCCAATCATAACAAAGATGGTCTTTAGTGTCATACTACCCACATAAATCTCAGAAACACTTGGAACCAGACAGAGTCCAAGAGCAACGGCACAAACTGCAAAGTACCATCTTGCTGAACATTTTCTTCCATATTTGAATGCAAAGAAGACAATTGATAACCTTACAGGGACATCAACAAGACCCATCCAGACCATTACGCTGTATTCATCATCCCCGAGTGAACCTGCATTAAATTGTAATGCATAATAGCAGGTAGAGACGGTAAACCAGGCAAAGGAAAGTTTCATAACTGCATCTCTGAGAGTCAAGTTGGAGATGATGATTCTAAATGGATTTTCAGATTCCTTCTCTTCATTACATTTAGGAAGTGTGAAATCTTTTGGCAGTGGTGGATTTCCATTTAGTTTCGCAACAAAGTTGAGTGACTTTATGGCATCAAAATTTCTGTTTATGGCAAGGAGCCAGAATGGGGTTTCTGGACATAAAACAATATAAATTAGCAAGGTAAGACATTGAATGAAAATCAAAGGTTGAATACTGTCCTGCCAATATTGGTTATGATATGCAAGAAAACTGGAAACAGAGCCTCCGACCGTGAAAGCAGCTCCAGCTGAAACGTTAGCAAATGCAGCAATATTTGGCAGGGTGAATTCATTGAAAGCTGTGAAAACACAAACTGAAATTCCAGAATGAAAGAAACCAAGGGCAAATCGAAAGAAATAAACCTTAGATAAGGTAGTAGAGTTATGTAAACCAATGAGTGCCAGCAGATATCCCAGAAGAAGAGAGATATTTGTTTTTTGTCTCCCAAATTTGTCACAAAGGGAACTCAGCAAGGAGACTCCGATCATAAAGCCAACAAAATACACAGTTGTTCCCATTCCTTTCAAATACGTATTGTCACAGTACAGTTCAAATTCTGTTAGCCAGTTGTGGTGAGTATTGTCGAACTTCCATTCCTCTGGTTTGAGTTTGCAAATTAGAGTATCATCACCTTCATTGTCTTTCAGAGCTTGACATCTTTCAGACAGGCATATAACGTCAGGCATGATAGAGAGAGCCTGGAACTGAAATGTGATACTGCCATTTAAGCAGGAGCTTCCAACAAATATGATGAAAAATATAATCTGGAATCGGCCAAGATAACCCACAGATTTCAAAGCCTCTGGAATTGTACTAACTGATGCCATTCTGATTGATCCTGAAATGTTGTCATTAATTTAGTAGTTAGATCTACAAATGATAATAAGATTTAGAACATGTCCTTTACAAGAGTAAAAAACATATATCATAATCATGGAGCAGAAGTAGTTGAAGGACACGTTTTTTTTAAGTGTGGTGAAAATGACTTTGAGTGCCATGACACTTTTGACAATGAAAGTAAAATGACTAGTAACTAGAAAGTGTTGCACAGAAATGCCTTCAATCTTAACTGCCCCTGTAAGGAAAATCCATTAGTTAGTTAATATGTCATAATATAGTACCAAGGTAGTGCCAGTTTTCAGCATTTTGGACTATAATGTTTAAAACGCCCGTAAAAAACTGAATTTTGCGACTTTTCTGTTCAAAATTCAGATTATGTCTCAGAATTATTCAAAGAATATTTGGATTGGGGTAGGAATACTTGAACTGTGCTCAAAATAAGCAAAAAGTCATTTGTTTGGTCAAATTTCTAGTTTGGTTGAAGGGGTTGTACAAGGCCCATACTTTCGATCAGCTTGTGAATGAACTGTAACAACTTTCAAGAAACGTTGGTCTGTAATAATGTAACCTAGGAAAAACCTATTGTGTGCCTGTATTCAGTAAAAATTCACTCACAAAATTACAATTGAGTTTTTTTACATTGCAGTAGCTAGAAAGCAAAAAATTAGAACGTTTTTCAATCATACTGTCGAGATTAAGTCTGCTCAACAGCATTCTGTCCGAAAATCAACTTAAGAGTGTGTCAGTTTTCAGTAAAAAGTCATTTTTAGGTCAAATTCATCACGATTAAAAATTAAAAAGAAATGACTCTTTGCTGAATATTGGCACTATACAATTGATGTCTGACAGCATAAGCAGGTTCATTAAGATGATTCTTTACAAAATCTAACGATATTGTGTGTTCTAATTCAGCAAAAAGTCATTTTATAAATAATACTTTTAGCTTAAACTCTTCATAGAAATGACTTTTTGCTGAATATTGGCACGATAAAGTAGATTTCTGACAACAATATCATGTTCATCATGGAAATTTGGGACATACTATTGATGTTTGAAGTTCATTGTGCCAGTTTTAAGTTAGTTATAGCAGGTTATCACAACACTGCTTACAAAGCACAAATTTTATGTGATTTACCATTGGTATATGCCTAGAAAAATAAGTCATTTTAAGCTGAATAATGGCACACAGTGCAACAAAATTGTGCCACATTAAACAAAAAAGGCACAACGCTCCCTCAAACAATATTCTGAACTAAAAGGAGTGCCATTTAGCAGTAAGAATGACTATTTCTGTCAAATAAGTCACTTTTTACTGATTTTCAGGACACATTTGTTGTTTAAATTTTCAGGATATAACTAAACTAAGATTCGTATCTGCAACATAAACAATTTGGTGGTTTGAGATGATTGATAATGCTGATATTGACTTCCAATAGTTGGTAATTCCCACGCTGGCTGCAGCAGTCACTACAGCTGATTAGTGGTACTCTAATATTATTATCTGTTTTTGACCCCTTTATGAACACATTACTTTTCGAAATAGATGCTTAAACTAACACTTGTACACCCATGGATCAAGAAATGGACAATTTTTGTCTTTTTACATCATTTATCTATATGACTGATATGCTGAATTTGGGCACTCGGGACATAATTGAGTGTAAGCAGTACAGAGTTCAAGCCGTCTTTTAACTGATTAATGGCACCTTCAATCTAAAAGTCAATAAGGTGACTGAAAAAGAGAACTGAAATTTCGATACTTATTTCATCTCTTTTATCAATTAAAAAAAGATAAATTTCAAGCTGATACATGTGTGACTTTTTGCTGATGGCTCGCACATAGACATGTAAGAATAAGTTTAAAGACACAACCAAACATTATCTTATCCAGAAAATAGCACAGTCACGCCTTGATCTTTTTAATATTTTGACAAGAACCATCAATAGAGTAGTCGTATTCAGATATAAAAATGACTTTTTGCTGGATTCTGTCACTTACTGGAATTGCTAATAATGACTAAAATGCTGAAAACAGTTACTCGCTCCAATCTACTAGTGTTATGTGAACAATATTTGAGCAAAATATGGCAAAATCAATGGAATTAGTCAATTGGAGGTTAAAATGGTTTGCTGATTTTTGGCACTCAGTTTAATTGCTCATAAGTCATATTCTGCTTGAGCCTGGCACTTCGTTTTTTCAAATCACAACTGCTGAATATTTTCACTTCATCCTATGTACAAATGTATGTTTGCACTTTAAAAAGCATTGCGACTTTTTCCTCATTTTGTGCACTCTACTTTGAAAAAGGTGAAATCAGCAACTCACCACACTTAAAAAAAACGTGTCCTGAAACGTTACGCCAATGGTATACAGTAACAATCACAATTGTAACCAAGATTACAGGAGTGGTTTATCATAATTATTAAGTACTTTTCACAGAGGGTCAGTATCAACAACAAGAGCTGTACATAACTGCATATTCTGTGTAATTTGTGTGTGTGCAGGATTAGTAAATATAAATGACAATTGACAGAGGTTGCAACTAAAGTAAAGTAAAAATTATGACATAACATCATCACTAATGTCTACTAGGGAGAGGTTTACCCTAGAAGTAGTCTTAAGGTACCTGGTTCGAGAACATCGTGTGCCATCAATCCTATATAGGTGTGACAAGAATTTATATGCAATAGCCTGAGCTGCGATTGACAAATTCATAATCAAAGGAAAAATTACGAGGAAGTCTGTCAATCGATTTGGAATCTTCTTAGGGTACCTATTAATGCAAATGTATTGTAGTTTACTGTTAACCGAAAATCTAGAAACCCAATTTCAATATTCAGTAATTTTGTTTGTAAACCTTGTAAACCATTTATGAGTACTGTATGTATGTACCAACCTCCTAGTGGGGACTCCTCATAGGTAATAATTGATACATGTTACGTATCACAAATATCGCGCGCGAAAAGTGGCATGCAACGTATGTCAAGGTAATAACACTAAACGAACTTAAAAAAATGATTGACCTTGATTGACGATGTCAACCCTTCCACACAGGGGGGGGGGGGGGGGCTGAAACCCGGTTTTCGAGCTAATGCTACCATTGTAGTTATATCAGGGTTGACATCTATGATTAATATTATAACCCAATATTCATTTCTTTTTCTTCCTTAAATTTAAACCCCCGGCCCCCACTTAGACATTTAGCCATGATTTAGTATTGAACACCCAAAATAACTACTGTCCTTAATAATCGTAAAGACCATTTGTTACAAAATAGCTGCTAGAATAATGCATGCCAAATATTCCCTCTTACACCCACAAATTATAATGCCTTCCTATCAACGCCTCTAATTTGGTCACTAATCAACCAGACTAGCGTTCTGGTGTGTACAAAAGCTACCAGCCAGTACATTCCTTGCCCCGCTAGTTGATTGTCAAAAAATCATACAGCTCAGAACAAACGGCCATTTACCACTAAGAGCATTATATGTTTTCATTTGTTTAAATTTTATGCTGTAAAATATGCTAAAACTTTGATTATTTGTTTAATTGAGTCAAACGTCGTCAACAGTTGCTCTCGTCCAATGAAATCGCTGCATTTTGCAAGTCATTATGCATATTTGAATTAAACATATATTCGTACGCGAAGCTTGGCTTACATGATGCAGCGATTTTATTTAGTAAAACAAAATTTAGTAAAACAAAATTTAAATTTTATTGCCATTACAATGAATAATGATATCATAATAAATATAATCAGTAGTCAATGACTAGACAGGGTTATTGAAAATTACAAAGAATAAAATGGCGTCTGGACTTGGGATCAGCTCATAGTACATTTCGAATTAATGCCCTCTGAAAACCACTCTGCTAGCTAAAAATGATATTGTTAGGTAAAACGTACTGAAGGAGTGTTATAAAGTTGTTGTACTCTATAAGCATAACTGCTTGGCGTGATGAGGTACATCTTTGATTGGTCAAAGGTCTTTCAACAACACAGCATCATCATTTTCATAGTAGTCCCCGGCTTATGACGGGTTCATAGCGGTATTAAACATATTTTTCTGGGCCCAAACATTCTACGCTCTGGAGCGTAGAATGTTTGGGCCCAGACTACTATGCTATTACTGGTCTCTTGACTAACTCCCAATCATCTGTCCATTTGTCATACGTTGTATGACCCGCCGCGCACGAAGTGCGCGGCTCCCCCTGTAGCGTCGAAGACTATAGTGAAGCTGTAGCGTCGAAGACTGTAGCGTCGAAGACTATAGTGAAGCGACAGTGGGGGTCACCACGTGATACAACTGTCCATATGGTATTGTTTCTGGACAAATAGATGGTATACGATGCCCTCAGGCTGATCTCAGCGATCTTCATGCAGGCCTTCTTCTTCTCTTTGTTGTTTACGTTCAGGTGGTTAAAATTAAGATTAAAAATTGAAAACGAACTGAACTAACAAAAAGAATGACACGTCATGCTAAAATACATATTCCGAAGTAAGATTAATCCCAAATTTTCCCCAAATGTCAAAATACTTATCGACAAAGAGACATTCGATAATAAACTTGTTAGGTCTAGTACAACCTAAGATTTCAACGAAACAAGAAAGGATATTAAAATTATACCCGTGCCGGTTCCAAATGTGAGACAGCGCTTAAACCAAAAGCAGTTGGCAAAAGGAGCCAGTGTCCTGTAAGAGCTTTACTAGCATCCGAAATACCACTCTTGGTGCACAAACTCAAGCCTAAAACCGGCCGAGCACAAAGATATGTTATCGCGCGCAACGATTGCGTGGATTGATCCCAGAATATTTATCAGCACGCAACACTGATAATATAAAGTTCACTATCGAATTTTAGATAGGCCATGGAACGTTTTACTTAAATATAAGTCGTCATTAGAGAATAATTAATTTGATTCACGATGTCAATCCTTCGCATCTCAACGCTCTGCATATTTGCATAAGTGGTTGCGAGAAGCATTATTGGGTGTAGGCGC